TATCCAAAGATGTTCTTAAGATGGTTCATGAAAGTCTGAAAAGTGACACAATCTATTTGCCTTCCTGAAGGATTATATTCTGTTTAAATGAATAATTAATAAATTAGTATATCAACAAAATGACATAGCCTAGTTAGTTCAGATTTGTGTGGCTGGGACAGAGAGGGTTTATTGTTGTTCTTTAATCTCAGAGGTAACATAAAATTTATCTCAGATCTGTAGCAAGCAAGAGAACAGGCCATGTTGTATAATGCCTCAAGCTCTAGAAATCTTAATGATCTCATTGAAATGTAGTTGGAGAAGCAGGGCCTGCAATAGCTCATACCTCAACTGTTGAAACATTGTTGATATCATGTACCAATCACTTGGACCCAAGCTGCTCTTTCAAAGATACTCTTAGGCTACCTTTTACATTTTATTTTTGCTCATCCAGTAACTCTGCCCTAGAAAAAGTGGCCAAGGTTCTCAAATTTTGTTTTAGGACAAGCACATCCTTTGGTGTTTCTAGGACCATAGCATCATTCCATAGTCTTAACCATATGCTTGGATCTCTAGGATTTCCTGGTTGTCCTTACAGAGATCCCTAAATACCACCTTCTGATGTGACATGGAGTCAGCAGGATACCCAGAGCTCCAAGCATAAAATGCACGGATTCAAGGTGTGTTGTTTAAAAAAATAGTTCTAACTTATTAACACAAACAAAAAAATATATAAAGAGACAAAAGTTGGTTCTCTAATTGGGCCTAGATCCCTTCCGTGTCTGCAGCCTACCAAATTAAGCTTCTTCTGCTAGGATTTCTCTTTATACCTAGGGAAGATTCTCATCATGCCTCACTCCGAAAAGGCACTCAGTCATTTCTCTGAAGGCACCATTCCTCCCTTATGCAGAACTCCTAAAAAACAGAAGTATGTTGGTTAATATTTTTGATAGACATAGAAAAAGAAACAGAGGACAAAGGTAACTGCTATACTCAACTCTAGTTACACTAAAAAGAAAAGGAGTACTTTTGGCACCTGCGAGACTAACTGAATGCATCCGATGAAGTGAGCTGTAGCTCACGAAAGCTTATGCTCAAATAAATTGGTTAGTCTCTAAGGTGCCACAAGTACTCCTTTTCTTTTTGCAAATACAGACTAACATGGCTACTACTCTGAAACCTGTCTAGTTACACTAGCAGTGAAAACAACAGAAGAGTGGAGAAAGCTGAATTGGGCTATATCCTTGAAATAATTCCTTCCATTAACCAGATTTTTTTTTAAAAGAAACCCTTCTAAGTCACCCTGTCACTAGGGTGACCACCAGTCCCGAACTGGATGGGACAGTCCCAAAATGCAAAGTTCAAATCCCAGTGCCAGGCTGAATGATGCCAGGACAGCATTTGTCCAAGATTCCTTGCAGTGCTGCTCTGTACCTACCAAAGGCTCAGGGGTGGTGGAGAGAGGGGAGGCTGAGGTGAGCCTAAGCCCCCCTCACCACAAGGCTCTGGCCCTGCTCCTCCTCTTCCCTGCGAGGCCCTGCCCCGGACAGACCGGAAGCTGGAGCTGGTCCAGGCTGTGGTAAAAGCTGCCTAGGGAGCCCAGGCCACTGAGGGGAGCTCCAGACCCTCCACCTGCCCTGGGCGATGGGCCAGGTGCCTGAGAGCAGCCCCCCAGCCCATGTCCCCACCTCCTGGGGTGTGCTGCCCAGGGCAGGTGGAGGGTCCGGGGCTTCCCACAGTGGCCTGGGCTCACTAGGCAGCTTTTACCACAGCCCAGCTCCCAGCTTCCAGCCTGGCCAGGGGGAAAGGCCTCAGGGGGAAGAGGAGGAGCAAGGGGCAGGGCCACGAAGGAGGTGGGGGCAGACCTCCTGCATGTATCCCACTTTGCCTTTTGAAAAAGGTGTCACCCTATCTGTCACACTCATCAAAGTGAAGGAGTACTTGTGGCACCTTAGAGACTAACCAATTTATTTGAGCATGAGCTTTCGTGAACTACAGCTGTAGCTCACGAAAGCTTATGCTCAAATAAATTGGTTAGTCTCTAAGGTGCCACAAGTCCTCCTTTTCTTTTTGCGAATACAGACTAACACAGCTGTTACTCTGAAACCACTCATCAAAGTGTATAGCTTTGAGGTTGCAGTCAATAAAAAGACTAATTTTCATGTCTCAGATCTGTAAATAAGCACATAAGAACGGCCCTGCTGGGTCAGACCAAAGGTCCATCTACCCCAGTATTCTGTCTTCCGACAGTGGCCAATGCCAGGTGCCTCATAGGGAATGAGCAGAACAGGTAATCATCAAGTGATCCATCTCCTGTCGCTCATTCCCAGATCTTTTAGAAGAGATTACTCTTCAGATACTATTAGTATGATCAGCAGTTTTAAAACTCCAATCCATTTACAGTGCCTCAAAATTTTCTGGACTGGTGGATTGTAAGTTTTTCTTCTGGGCTCAATCTGTATATGAAAAGTTGAAATGACTGCTAAATGCACTCTAGTGATCTGAAGTTGTAAACCAGAATGAAATAAGTCATTGTTAGATTTTGTAAGTTTGATGATAAATGGTACATTTGGGGGTCTTGATCTTGCCTATTTGTAATGCTCAAATTCAAGAATGTGTTCCATTTACTGCAATAAATTGCATTCGTTGTCTTAGATCTGTCTCACAAAATGATTTTAAGAACTTTAGATGAAAATTTATAAGGCTTAATATTTTGTCTTTCTTGCTGAGGGACTGAATATGTTCTCAAAATTTTGTTAAATTTTAGGATGTGCCTGTGATGGGAGTTCAGAGGGCCACGCAGTGGTTAGCGCATCTGACTTCCAGCCCGTTGCCTCTGTCAGGGCAGTAGAGACACCAGTTCCTGATCTTAGGGTGGGAATCTTCAGCTTTCCACACACATCTGGGCCTCCGTGGCCCTTAAGGCCCTTAAGGCCTGTGGCCCTTAAGGTTACATATCTGGGAATTTGGACTGTCTTCTTCTTGTCTTCAGGTCTTGTTCTCAGAAGACAAACACAACTCCATCTCCTATTGTGTACCCTATTCTTGATCAAGACCTTAACTCTGTAACTGACTATTTAAAAACACATGAAGATATAATTTATCAAGCTTGCAGGTACACATCAACTGTTCATTTCTTTTGTCAAACATCAACTATCATTCTTGGTTTTACCAAGTGGCTAGAATAAATTAATAAACTGATAAGGACTGACACAATGAATTTAGGAGGACATGTTCTATAAGAGAGGCTTTGGCTAGAAAGGTGATGGTAATAGGTCAAGGATTGGCAACCTTTGGTATGTGGCCCATCAGAAAAATCCGCTGGTAGGTCGGGACGGTTTGTTTACCTGCAGCGTCCGCAGGTTCAGCCGATTGCAGCTTCCACTGGCCGTGGTTCACCATTTCGGGCTAATGGGGGCTGCAGGAAGTGGCGCGGGGCCTTATGTGAAGTCTAATTCTTCTTAAGACATTATTGCAGGCTTTGAAGCATTGTCCAAGACTTTAATATTTTAAAATAGGTTTTGTTTTATAAAGAGTTTATGCTTAATGTAAAAATATTGAGCTGCTCTTCCTTCGAATTTCTTAAGTTTTCAGAAAGTGTAGCCTTGCTGGGTGATTCCTAAGTGGCTGAATTAAGAAACCTCTTCTGGTTTTAACATAATAATAATATGTTGCATTATATGGCAATTTTCATTTGAGAATCTCAAAATGCTTTACAAACGCTATTTTATGTATTTGAATTAAAAGGCAGCATAAAATAATGCCTACCAAAGTCTTGACATTCAGAAATAAACGATACAAAAATACAAATACAGAGCCAAAACAGCAGCACAGCTCCTGTATTACAAGCCAAAACCTCTTAGCATCCATCTCTTCGACCATCTCAGCCCATTTCAAACACCAGATTGAACAAATGGGCTTTGCAGTGTACCCAGCAGGTCAACAAGATGAGAGCCATTTCAGATTACTGGGTGGGAGGGCATGAGAAATTTTCTACATAAGAACAGCCATACTGGGTCAAACCAAAGGTCCGTCTAGCCCAGTATCCTGTCTGCCAACAGTGACCAATGCCAGAGGGAATGACCAGAACAGGTAATCATGAAGTGATCCCCCTGTCGCTCATTCCCAGCTTCTGGCAAACAGAGACTAAGGACACCATCCATGCCCATCTTGGCTAACAGACACTGATGGACCTATCCTCCATGAATTTCTCCTCAAGGAGCCAGCTAAAGGTTTATAGTTTGTGTGGTCAGATTCTTCTTTTCAGGGCTGGGTGCAGAAAAGTGTGTATGAGCTGGGGGAGGGGTGGCTTTAAACCATCTTTAGTGCCCCTTGAGTTTTGGCTCCAGGGCTGCTCTAAGATGCATCGGCTCCTAAGGCCCATGGGTGTGCTGTCACACCTTTACAAACGAGCCGTGGCATAGCGTGCTCGGGCCAAGACCTCTCCTGCCCTTTCTTTTCTCCGACACAGCCCTTACGCCAGAGCTGCCACACTGACCCGCAGAGAACCCCCGCACCCCATGCTGGGGACCAGCCGCACAGCCGCAGCCCCTGCGTTTGGCAGAGGGGCAAAAGCGGGACTGCGCGAAGCGAGAACGGGTCCGCACAATGGCGCCCTTTCATGGGGCGTAACAGGCGCAGTCTGGCGCTGGACGCTGCAGGAAGGCACTGACAAGACTGGTCCCCTCCGGTGAACGGGTACCACCCACCTCTTAAAGCCCCAGCTCCGGGAATCTTGTTCTTTTGTGACAATCCCAGCAGGGATCCAGCTGCTGGGCAGAGGGGACGGGGGGGGAGGGAGAGAAAAAAGATGGGGGAACATGATCCTTAAAGGCTTCAAGCCCTGATGACAAATCAACGCCACCTCCACCCACCCCCGCTTATCACTCGTGTGAGATCATGGCTGGCAAATACGCGACCCCGGTCTCCGAGGCTCTGACCAGCTGGCTCTGCCCGACCGCCTGGGCTCAGCCCCGCCGGGGCCCCGCCCCAGCCCCAGCCCCAGCCCCGCGCATGCTCGTTCCCCCGCTGTGGCCGCCGGCGCCGGGCCTGGCTGGAGCATGGGGGCCTGGGAGCCGCCGCCAGCCCCGCGGCCGGGCCCGGCGGCTCCTCCTGTTCCGCGCGGGGCCGGGCTCAGCCGCTTCGTGCGGTGCCTCTACCTGGTGGGCTTCCTGGTGAGTGCGGGGCCGCAGCGTCAGGGACCTGCCGGGCGGGGGCTCGGTCCCCCGCTTCCTGCCCGGCGGGGGGCTGTGTCCCGGTTCCTGCCCTGGCCGGCGGGGGGCTGTGTCCCGGTTCCTGCCCTGGCGGGGGGCTGTGTCCCGGTTCCTGCCCTGGCGGGGGGGGTGTCCCGGTTCCTGCCCTGGGGGGGCTGTGCGGTTCCTGCCCTGGGGGGGGGGCTGTGCCCGGTTCCTGCCCTGGCGGGGGGGCTGTGTCGGTTCCTGCCTGGCGGCGGGGGCTGTGTCGGTTCCTGCCCTGGCGGCGGGGGCTGTGTCCCGGTTCCTGCCCTGGCGGCGGGGGCTGTGCGGTTCCTGCCCTGGCGGCGGGGGCTGTGTCCCGGTTCCTGCCCTGGCGGCGGGGGCTGTGTCCCGGTTCCTGCCTGGCGGCGGGGGGGCTGTCCGGTTCCTGCCCTGGGGCGGGGGGCTGTGTCCCGGTTCCTGCCTGGGGCGGGGGCTGTGTCCCGGTTCCTTCCCTGGGGGGGCGGGGCTGTGTCCCGGTTCCTGCCCTGGCCGGCGGGGGGCTGTGTCCCGGTTCCTGCCCTGGCCGGCGGGGGGCTGTGTCCCGGTTCCTGCCCTGGCCGGCGGGGGGCTGTGTCCCGGTTCCTGCCCTGGGGGGGGGGCTGTGTCCCGGTTCCTGCCCTGGCCGGCGGGGGGCTGTGTCCCGGTTCCTGCCCTGGCCGGCGGCGGGGGGGAATCCGTCCCACCTCCTGCCCTGAGGGGGGGGGGGGTGTGTAAGTGTAAAAAAGCAAATATTATCCAGCCTGTAGGTGAACCAGGACCGCAATGGTGTCTCTGCCGCTTGTCTCCACTGGAACACTCAAAAAACCCTGAAAAACGATCCTCAGCTCCATTGCCCGGCGCTCCTGCACCCCATGGCAGATCTTCTTTGCTGTTTGATGGGGGATGTATAACAAATGTAACCTTAAATATGTGTAATCCACATATAAAATATAATCTGTCCCATACTGTAAATGACCCTAGAGCATCCGGGTTCGAGAGCTGCCTTTTTATAGTCTGTTCGGACACCACCCATTTCTCCTGTGTTTGTATTTAATGTCATTGTCATGGTTGAAGCTCCCATTGCCTTGACATCAATAGCAACTACCTGGCCAAAAAAACCCTGAAGTTCCTGAGGGAGTCCTAAGGGACTGAAAAATTCCTCCAAATGTCTGAGTTTAGGGATGGGCAAAGACAATCTCTGTTCTGTTCAGTACTCAGCACATCCATGGCACTACTGAAAACCCGGAGATTTTAGAGGCAGTTCTGAGGCCTAAGAGATTTCCCCAGGATCTGACACTTTGGCTAAAAGCTGCATTCCAGCAGGCATACCCTTATCCTTGCTGTTGTCCTTTATTTCCCATCAAATAAGATGACCATCCATTCAGTATTTTAAGGCATATCATTTATTTAGTGTTTACTTCCCTATGACCCATATCCAATAAGGAGTTATGTTTTATCTGAGTGACTCTTAGTATGTTTTCAATAACCATACAAAGGATCATGCACTGTTATACAAAAATCATGCATTTATATATTGACTAAAACAGTGTGGGATAGTTTCTCCTAAAAATAAGGTTTTTTTTCCCCCCCATACAGTTGTCCTTCATTTATTTGAAATGTATATGGTCTACCCTAGTCTCAAATTATATCTTCACCTTCACAAAGTGGGACTAAAGGAACATCTTTGGTTTACAAAGTCATATTTTTTAAACAACTTTTCTTATTTTTTTTTAAAAATGATTGGATGTATATTCTAGTCAATAAATTTTAGTGAAGACAATTTGTCAGACACTTTTATTGAACTAAATCATGTTAAATCTTGCTTTCTGAGCAGCTCTTGTTAAGGGATTGAGTGGTTTTTTTCTGTGGACTCAGAAAGGGAGCTGCACTCAGGAACTCTTCAGCTCTAATCCAGGTTCTGTCACTGACTTCCTGTGTGGCCTTGGATGAGTCTCTTAAGTTTTCTGGGTCTGATTCTGCTTTGGCTGTAGAACTTCCAGCCCTGTCCTATTCCCAAATCTCCCCCTGCATGCAGCATGCCCCTGTTGAGCTGAGTATTCTGAATGGGGAGTGCAGTCACCAAATCCTGTTCAGCCCCTTGGAAAGTGGTACCACAGTGGTTTCTGTTCTCAGACGCCACAGGTGTGGTGCTCTGCTCTTGTTCGATGATGATAACAGTTGGCTGCATGCGTGTTCCTGCTGTGTGCTGCCCCAGCTCTGCGCAAATAGCTAACACAGCAGACCCCGAGAGAACCCTGAAAAACCACAGACTCTAGTAAGATATGAAGGAACCCGAGCCAGGTTTATTGTCAAACGAAGCACAGTAATAGTTCCCTATAGACTCTACAGGGCATACTACGAATTTGTGCTCCCTGGCAATGGACGCCGCTCAGTCAGTGGCGGGACACTCCACTGCCCCCTAGGCTGGACAGAGACACCCCCCCCAGGGATGTATTCTTATACACAGGTACAAACAAGTTACATAACACTCCTGACGTATTGAGGTGCAACCCCTTTACGTAACAATGCACCACCCTTCTACGCAGTAAGGTGCTGCCTCTCACCTTGTACATGTTGGTTCGAACAAAACAACTCTATCCATCGTACTAGCCTTTTGCCCCTGTCCTTGTTATCTATGTGGACGGTATAAGAATGTTCTTGTACCATTTGTGTGTGGCTCTGGTATCCAATACACTTTAGATACATGTTTGTGCAACAGCATATATTTATGCAACATCAGCCCTTTCCTTGCCAGCTTCTGTGAGCAGGGCCTGCCTCTGGCTCGCAGCTTAACTTTGCTTTATGTCAGCAAAGTCTTGACCATTACTTTAGCTCAGGCATTAGGTCTCATACCAGGCCTCTGATACCAAGGGTTTATGTTTCAGGGCCTCATCTTACTACAGTTTCATGCAAATATAGTCTCTATTAACATAGGCAAACTAGCCATTCATGTCTGGGACTTTGAGTGCTTTCAGTTCAACTAGCCAGTGTGATAGTTTAATGCAGAAATAAGCATCTAAGATTGATGAAACGGGAAAATGCTTTTGTATGTATTACTGCAAGTTACTTTTGTTTAAACTAGCCAAAGAGAACTGACTTTTTTCTTTCATGTCTTTTATATTGTTTTCCATCATTTCCCCCTTTGATAAATCTATCTCATTTTTGCTTTTTTTCCTTTGTTTGTGCTTCCTCTTTAACTCTGTCTTTTTCCTTACAAGTCTGAAAAAGCAGTAGGCAATAGTGCTCCATAGAGCTTGTCTGTTTTGCTGCATCCGATGAAGTGAGCTGTAGCTCACGAAAGCTTATGCTCAAATAAATTGGTTAGTCTCTAAGGTGCCACAAGTCCTCCTGTTCTTTTTGTGTATACAGACTAACACGGCTGCTACTCTGAAGCTTACATTTGTGTTTGCAATGTTTCATAAACTGCCTTATGCTCATTATAGGTAATAATTAGAACCCTTCTAATACTGAGGTAAATTTACTTTGCCATAGAAGGCAATTGGCACATTTCTAAGGGTGACCACTGTGAATAGTAGCTGAGCGATGTCACTGAGCTGTCTGCTACATAACCTTCCCATAGCCAATAAATTAGAGTTTAGAATAACATACACTTCTCTCTTTAAAATAAGAAATAATTGCTGTTCTTCACTGACATGCAAATGATAATAACAATTACTGGGCTTAAATATTGTGTTACTTAAGGAGTACCAGGGATCAGCTATATTAGTTTTGTGAGTGTATGTATATATAAAAATTAGCCATCATGACTGCTTAATGAGATATTAGAAGCATGTGACTCGATGGTATTTATAATGACATCTCTATTCTAGTTTTGGATGGACTATTATGAATGTTTAGTGCAACTGCAGTAGTCTGATAAAAGGTGAGACTACTGCAGTAGTCTCTGATAAAAGGTGAGACTGCTTCAGTAGTCCCCTTCAGCACAGTTCTACTCTGATGTAGAAGTGGCGTGCAAGCAGCATTGTACAGTAAAGAATTAGCAGGTCAGTGTGGTAAGTTAACAAAAGATAAAAATTTGAAAGGACAGGCCAGGAGATCCTTGTACAGTATCGGAGTGAAGAATCCTCACATGCTGTCTCGTCTTCCTCTGATGCTACTGAGGAAATCTCTGCTTCCCTTATGCTTTGCCTTGCCTCTGTGCTGTATCCTACACTTTGCCATTGTAATGTAAGAAAAATAATGTAATCTATTTACAGGAATGGGCTGTCTTGAAAGTCTCTCTTCCCATTGTAGATGATGTTTTTCAACTGAAAGGCTACACTTTACATGCATTTTCCGGTGCTTTACATGTTTGTTTTCATAACTTAATTATTTGTACAGAGAGAAGCTTTTTTTTTATTTCTATGATACACCAGACTATTTATATTGCTGTATTAAAAATGCAATATAAATAGTGCAAGCCTATCATTTTGAAAATTCAGAATAATTATTCAACTTCCTATATATATTAAGCATTAAATATTTCTTAACTAGATCTTCTGAAAAAGTGTAGCACTGCCTTTTTCATGTATTTAGAACCATTCAGAAGATAAGTAGTTCCTGTCAGTTTTTAGCGTAAAAAATTGTAATTTGTGAACATACCACTCAGATTGCAAGGATTATGGAATGCAACATAACACATTCTCTGTCATGCAAAACTTTTTATTTCTTGTTGACCAGATCAAACTTTTGGTCAGGGGTGTGATGAAAGTGTGATTTGTGATCAGCATAGCTGTGCCTTCTAGAATCCCTAGGGTTGATGCAATTATGCCAGCAAAGCTGTGCTTTTACCAGTACAGCTTGTTTCACTCAGGGCAGCTGGAATAAGTTATACCAGCAATAAGCTGCATCCACGCTAGAAGCACTTGACCGGTATAATATGCTGGTATAGCTGTGTGGGTGGAGCCTTCCAAATGTAGACCTGATCCTAGATTGTTATTCAATTAAAATATAAAACCCTTTTAAAATACAGAATCATTTATTCCTAAATCTTGACTTTCTGTATCTTTGTAAATATGCTCAATTACTGAAATTCCATTCTCCCTATTCTTTCAGGACTTCTTTGGTGTAAGTATGGTTGTGCCTCTGTTAAGCCTTCATATCAAGTCTCTAGGAGCAAGTCCAACTGTTGCAGGAGTAGTAGGTGAGTACAGCATGGGTACTGATTACCCAGAACATGATGTAGAAGTCAGATACAGTAACTCCTCACTTAACGTTGTAGTTATGTTCCTGAAAAATGCGACTTCAAGCGAAACGATGTTAAGCAAATCCAATTTCCCCATAAGAATTAATGTAAATGGGGGGGGGGGGGGGAGGGGTAGGTTCCAGGGAAAAATTTTTTCACATATATACACACACACACACACACACACAGAGTATAAGTTTTAAACAAGCAGTTTAATACTGTACACAGCAATGATGATTGTGAAGCTTGGTTGAGGTGGTGAAGTCAGAGGGTGGAAGAGGGTGGGATATTTCCCAGGGAATGCCTTACTGGTAAATGATGAACTAACATTTGGCTGAGCCCTCAAGGGTTAACACGTTGTTAATGTAGCCTCCCACTCTACAAGGTAGCAGGAATGGAGGGAAGGGAGATAGCATGGCAGATAGAGAGACACACCCTGTGTGAGACAGAGAGAGAGATGCATATTATGATCCCACTGAGAGTTACCAAAAGCAACTACAGCATTTGCTCAAGAAACTTCCTGAAAAAGCACAAGATCAAATCCGCACAGACACACCCCTGGAACCCCGACCTGGGATATTCTATCTACTACCCAAGATCCATAAACCTGGAAATCCTGGGCGCCCCATCATCTCAGGCATTGGCACCCTGATAGCAGGATTGTCTGGCTATGTAGACTCCCTCCTCAGGCCCTACGCTACCAGCACTCCCAGCTACCTTCGAGACACCACTGACTTCCTGAGGAAACTTCAATCCATCGGTGATCTTCCTGATAACACCATCCTGGCCACTATGGATGTAGAAGCCCTCTACACCAACATTCCACACAAAGATGGACTACAAACCGTCAAGAACACTATCCCCGATAATGTCACGGCTAACCTGGTGGCTGAACTTTGTGACTTTGTCCTTACCCATAACAATTTTACATTTGGGGACAATGTATACCTTCAGATCAGCGGCACTGCTATGGGTACCCGCATGGCCCCACAGTATGCCAACATTTTTATGGCTGATTTAGAACAACGCTTCCTCAGCTCTCGTCCCCTAAAGCCCCTACTCTACTTGCGCTATATTGATGACATCTTCATCATCTGGACCCATGGAAAAGAAGCCCTTGAGGAATTCCACCATGATTTCAACAACTTCCATCCCACCATCAACCTCAGCCTGGTCCAGTCCACATAAGAGATCCACTTCCTGGACACTACAGTGCTAATAAACAATGGTCACATAAACACCACCCTATACCGGAAACCTACTGACCGCTATTCCTACCTACATGCCTCCAGCTTTCACCCTGACCACACCACACGATCCATCGTCTACAGCCAAGCTCTGCGATACAACCGCATTTGCTCCAACCCCTCAGACAGAGACAAACACCTACAAGATCTCTGTCAAGCTTTCTTACAACTACAATAGCCACCTGCGGAAGTGAAGAAACAGATTGATAGAGCCAGAAGAGTTCCCAGAAGTTACCTACTACAGGACAGGCCTAACAAAGAAAATAACAGAACGCCACTAGCGGTCACCTTCAGCCCCCAACTAAAACCCCTCCAACGCATTATTAAGGATCTACAACCTATCCTGAAGGATGACCCAACACTCTCACAAATCTTGGGAGACAGGCCAGTCCTTGCCTACAGACAGCCCCGCAACCTGAAGCAAATACTCACCAACAACCACATACCACACAACAGAACCACTAACCCAGGAACTTATCCTTGCAACAAAGCCCGTTGCCAACTGTGCCCACGTATCTATTCAGGGGACACCATCACAGGGCCTAATAACATCAGCCACACTATCAGAGGCTCGTTCACCTGCACATCCACCAATGTGATATATGCCATCATGTGCCAGCAATGCCCCTCTGCCATTTACATTGGTCAAACTGGACAGTCTCTACGTAAAAGAATGAATGGACACAAATCAGATGTCAAGAATTATAACATTCATAAACCAGTCGGAGAACACTTCAATCTCTCTGGTCACGCAATCACAGACATGAAGGTCGCTATCTTAAAACAAAAAAACTTCAAATCCAGACTCCAGCGAGAAACTGCTGAATTGGAATTCATTTGCAAATTGGACACTATTAATTTAGGCTTAAATAGAGACTGGGAGTGGCTAAGTCATTATGCAAGGTAGCCTATTTCCCCTTGTTTTTTCCTACCCCCCCACCCCAGACGTTCTGGTTAAACTTGGATTTAAACTTGGAGAGTGGTCAGTTTGGATGAGCTATTGCCAGCAGGAGAGTGAGTTTGTGTGTGTGTGTGTGTCCCGGGAGGGGGGGGGGGGGGGGGTGAGAGAGCCTGGATTTGTGCAGGAAATGGCCCACCTTGATTATCATGCACATTGTGAAGAGAGTTGTCACTTTGGATGGGCTATTACCAGCAGGAGAGTGAGTTTGTGTGTAGGGGGGTGGAGGGTGAGAAAACCTGGATTTGTGCTGGAAATGGCCCAACTTGACGATCACTTTAGATAAGCTATTACCAGCAGGGCAGTGGGGTGGGAGGAGGTATTGTTTCATGATCTCTGTGTGTATATAATATCTGCTGCAGTTTCCACGGTATGCATCCGATGAAGTGAGCTGTAGCTCACGAAAGCTCATGCTCAAATAAATTGGTTAGTCTCTAAGGTTCCACAAGTACTCCTTTTCTATTTCCCCTTTAAGAACTCTGACCCCACTCTAAGTACATTGCCTTTTTAAGTATATCAGGAAGTTTAGACAGCAGCTGTGGCCAGCAAGCTCTCTTTGTCCTGAGCCCAGTTGTCCTCCCGCCCCCCCCCCCCCCGCTCTATATGGAGAAGGAGTAAGTGGGGGGGCAGGAGCAGGGGGGAGGGGGACACCCTGACATTAGTCCCCCTCTTTCCCCCCCCCCTCCCCCAGCAAGCAGGAGGCAGGAGCAGCACATGGCAGTGAGGGGAGGGACAGCTGAACTGAGGGCAATTGATAGGCAATTGATAGCCTGCTGGGTGGCTGCTGCACAGGGAACTTAGGGGAGCGGGGAGCTGATGCGGGGCTGCCGGTCCACCCTGGTCCCAAGCCTCGATCAGCTAGCTACAACGGGCTGCTCTTCCTGCAAGCAGTGAACAAAGCTGGTGGCTGCAAACAACGTCATAAGGGAGCATTGTGCAACTTCAAATGAGCATGTTCCCTAATTGATCATCAACGTAACAATGTTAACCAGGACAACTTTAAGTAAGGAGTTACTGTATGTATCATAACTAACCTTCAGTAGCCACACAGTGGAAAACAATGGCAAGCTCTAAGCAAGATAGACATTTTTCTGCAGCTGATTCTTCCCCTTTATAATCATGATTGTCCCACTATTAAGTCATTGAATTTCTTCATAGTTGTCTTCAGAAGCTACTATATGGTGGTTCCAAATGATGACCTTTTTGGATTCTGTAGCTTCCTCTCCTCCATTAAAGTGATACTGGGGTACTGGCTTATAACACAAATACAGGTCTAGTGCACAGTTTAGAAATCGTAATGATGATATAAATGTCTTCTTTATATCCAGATTTTTAATATCCTGCCTTTTCAGTTTGCATGGACTAGAACTCCTTCTGATGTTAATCCTATTTCTGAGTTTGGTTGACAGAAATGTTGTTTATGCAGTGACTTTAGTGTACAGTACATTATCATCTCTACACTTTGCATTGACTTAAGCGTTCAAAAAGCCAGGGAGCTGGGGTGTCCTTTAATCAGTAAAAGAGGCTGACAAATATTGTACTGTTGACTCCATGCTGGAATTGTTGTTTTCTTTCTGTTCCTTCTCTCCTACTGCCAATTGCTGCTAGGTTCTTACCCTTCATTTTGAAGGGTAGGATTTGCAATTTCTTCCAAGCCTGCTGCTACAGTGCCCTGTCATAATGTTTGGTGTTGGGTGCCAGCTGTCCCAGTTTCAGTTATTTTCCCTGGCAAAGCAGCATACTGCTGCTTTCACTCTTCTCCGTTGAATAGTGTTGCAATTTTCAGACACTCAGAAAAAGAGGAAAATTCATCCATCAAAGTGGTGAAAATCTTGTTCATGCTGGACTCCACCTCTGCTTTTCCCTATTGCCTCTTCCTGTACTTCTAATTAATTATTTTGTTAATTTTCCCACTTTGCAGAACCATTTTAAAGCCAGTTTCACAAGTCTGTTCATGCTTAATTCTCAGTGTCTTTTTTCACTATTTTTATTTTAGGATCTCTTTATGGTTTACTGCAGCTCTTTTCCAGCACATTTGTGGTAAGTTTTGAATACTGGATCTTAAATATATATTGGTGTTTCTATTAACTTTGCAGGAAAATTAAAAACATTAATGGTAATATTTTGGAGAATGTGAAACTGTACATTTGCTAGCATAGCCCACACACCTCCTGTTCTGTCACATCTAGTGGTACTGAGACCACTGAGAGAGAGAGAGAGATTGATTGAGTCTGAGTCTGCTCTACAGCCTTAGCTAACAGCTGGTTGTCTTTTAGTTCATGTGGTAGAGGCTCATGCTCTAAGCTCCAGAGGTTCCTCGTTTGATCCTGCCCTCGACTACCAGGGTCTGTCGGCGTTACACTAGTGTTTACACAAGCCTTTGAGGTTGGAGGAACTGCTCTTACTCTATGTGGACTTTTTGTTTCAGTTATAGGGACTAATCAAATCCTAGTACACAAGTTGAAATTTTTAGCTGAAAACCAAATCTCTGCCTAGATTTGAAAGTAGTAGTTTAAGCAGTCAAATATTACTATGTGTCAGGCATGTAACATTCTGTTTAATGTTGTGTTGTTATTAGAGCAGTTTTCTTTAACGCGGTAGCCTCCATACAAGAAATAGTATCATAGGCCAGATCTCTGAAATTGTTATATTCTCCGATTAATATGGAGTCTATTGTAATTTGCCATTGGCCTTAGTTCATGCAATGTCTCTCAAACTTTATTTTTTCCCCATAGGGTATGCTTTTTCCCCTCCTTTCCCAAAACAAATTGGCACAAGGACACAACCCAATGCCATAGGTCAGGAATGCATACTGTACCTGCCAACATTCAAATCTGTACTTTGGAGCCAGTGCTCCTAGGTTTCATCCACACATTTTGCACACAGTCACCTTTTCCTCTGTCTGTTGCAGCTTCCCTGAACTTATGTGTAAGGCTCCTACCCTTCCTACTTAAAGACCCTCTTCTGCCATGCTGCATGTGGTGAATTAAGTTGACTTATTTTATATAGGTTATCTTTTAATTTTCCCCTTCTTGTGACCTCTTTCTGTTTGTCTGCCCTCAGACTGATAGCTCCCTCAAGCCAGGACTGCCCTCTTTGAGTGTTTGGCAGGCATCTAGCACACAGTAGTTGCTATCATATATAAATAATAATGGTCAGTGTTGGTGTGATGACATTTTCATTAGACTGTCGCCCATGATATTTCACTAAATTGTCATGGGTTTACATAAAACTAAGATGAGACATTAAATTAAATTAAGCTTGGCTTTCATACCTCATCTAGTAAAATTAATTCATGGTGGAAGCAGGTGCTTCTCCGATTGACTTTAGGGTTGAATTTAGTCCATCATGTCCAGCCTCTGGCATCTAGACACAATACTATTATGAATATTATCTAAACTGTTTATGAAGGTTTCCACTGATGGTCCCTCAGGGACCTCTCTTTTGAGAAAAGAAGTAATCGATTTAATTCAGACATGCATATCATTCACAATGGGTAGTTCAATACTATAAAAAACACTCATTTATTGTCTTACCAGGGCTGCTGGAGTGATGTAATAGGAAGACAGTATTCCCTGATTGCCTGTATCCTCTTCAGTGCAGTGGGTTATTTGCTGCTTGGCATGTCCACCAGTGTGTGGTTATTTGCCATTGCTAGGGTACCTGTAGGTGAGTAATTGACTTGATACTTGGATTTATATTTAGTCCAACGTTGGTTTGAGAATTATTGCTGGGGAAATCATGGTATTTAGATGTGGGGACAAGCTAGATAGCAGCTTTGAACAGTTTTACTTATCACAGGTACAATGGTTCTTTGGCACCTATGGAACCCCAGCTTTGAAAAGACCTCTAAGTTGATCTTTTTACTATTTTTTTTTTTAATGAGCCATGTGACCAGTGATTTTTCAGGGCTTGGGTTTTTTTGAGGGTGTGGGAGGGGGTAAACAACTTCTGAGACACTTCAGTGCAGGGACTGTTTTTTCAAAGGGTGGGTGCTTATCACTTCCTGAAAATCAGCCACTTTAACGTTTCTCAAGTCGAGCATGCAAAGTCGCTAGTAACTTCTAAAAAAGTTAGTCTGTGTGCACGACATAACATGATATAAGATCTTCAATACATTTTTGTCATACTGAACATATATTTCCAAATAGGATATCATCTAAAAGCTTAGCTCACTGCTTAACAGAATGTGTATGTTGTGTAAAAGCATATTTGTTAGTGCCACTAACACAAAGTTTCCATCAACGGACCTAGGGGTTACAGTGGACGAGAAGCTGGATATGAGTCAACAGTGTGCCCTTGTTGCCAAGAAGGCCAATGGCATTTTGGAATGTATACGTAGGGGCATTGCCAGCAGATCGAGGGACGTGATCGTTCCTCTCTATTTGAAACTGGTGAGGCCTCATCTGGAGTACTGTGTCCAGTTTTGGGCCCCACACTACAAGAAAGATGTGGAAAAATTGGAAAGCGTCCAGCGGAGAGCAACAAAAATGATTAGGGGACTGGAACACATGAGTTATGAGGAGAGGCTGAGGGAACTGGGGATGTTTAGTCTACGGAAGAGAAGAATGAGGGGGGATATGATAGCTGCTTTCAACTACTTGAAGGAGGGTTCCAAAGAGGATAGCTCTAGACTGTTCTCAGTGGTAGCTGATGACAGAACAAGGAGTAATGGTCTCAAGTTGCAGTGGGGGAGGTTTAGGTTGGATATTAGGAAAAACTTTTTCACTAGGAGGGTGGTGGAATGCGTTACCTAGAGAGGTGGTGGAATCTCCTTCCTTAGAAGTTTTTAAGGTCAGGGTTGACAAAGCCCTGGCTGGGATGATTTAATTGGGGATCGGTCCTGCTTTGAGCAGGGGGTTGGACTAGATGACCTCCTGAGGTCCCTTCCAACCCTGATATTCTATGATTAACGTCTCTGTCTGATAAAACTCTCATAACAGGTTTTTAAAATTCTGACTATCTAGCCTCATTCCAAAGAAAACTTTTTTGTTTCCTTGATAGAGGAGGCAGTGGGTTGGTTTTGGTTCTTTTTTTGTATGATAAAGAAACTTCAGTGGTTTGTTTGATAAATCTTTAAAATTTTAACTACCTCTTTAGAGTTTTTGTAATGCTCCTATATTGCCAGTGGTTGTGGACTGTGGTGGTGTAAGGTAATCCTTTTGTGAGGAAAGAGCAGAGAAAGAGATTTTATTGTACACGTGTGGCATTTTTAGAATGGCCCAGAATTCATATTAATTGTTGCTGTTTCTCAGCCTACCAACACCTACTGGTTAACAACCTGGGATTGTACTGTACCAATTGCAAGTGTCTGTAGCCAGCTGTATCATTCTTTCCCCAGCACTGACCACAAGATGCGATGTCTCTGGTAGTTGCCTCACCTCCACTGGGATCCACCAATCAGAGGTGCTGCTTCTATCCTATTTGAGCTGTTGTGCTCACTTGACGCAGATGTCTGTTTAACATGATTCCACTAGCCAAGGGAGTGGTTGCTGCCAAACTCGTCACACGTCCAGCTCACCACTTCCATGACACAACCCCTATAGCTCAGGCATTGGACGATTTGTAGCTTATGGAATTTTCAAACAATAATTAAACACAACCTTATAAATTATATCCTATGCTAAATAAATATGATATCATTTTCCTATATGTTTTTATGTTAACTTTCAGGTATTTTCAAACACACTCTCTCCATATCAAAAGCTCTTCTTTCTGACTTGGTTTCTGAGAAAGAGCGCCCTCTTGTAATAGGACATTTCAATGCAGCCTCTAGTGTTGGTTTCATCCTGGGTCCTGTGGTTGGTGGCTACTTTACAGAGCTAGAAAGTGGCTTTTACCTGACATCTTTCGTCTGTTCTTTCATCTTCATTCTGAACGCTGGTAAGTTGTATGTAGTATTTTGCACTTCAGGCTTTTTCAAGAGATTTGTGTTCGTGTTGTTTGTACAGTAATTTGACTGTAATCCCTTTCTGTTCTGTGCATTCAGACTGCTCTTTCAATGTGAAGTACTTCTCACGTTTTGAAAATAGTTCATTTAAGACAGCCTTCCCCCTCTTTATTTCTTTTTTATATCCAGATACAAGAGATGGAGTGTTATTTTTGTGTCTAGAGCTGGAGAGTGGGAGTCTGAATCCTGGGTTCAGTTCTCAGATCTGCTATGTATATGCTGCATGAGCAAGTCACTTAACCTTTTTCTCTCTTATTATAGAGCCCCATTTTAAATATGGGGAAACCAATAGTAACTACATGGGTTATGTTGTGCTTAATTTTTGTAAACTGTTTTGTGATTATTTTAAGATGAAATGTTGCCAACAAAGTGCAAAATACTTTCATTTGTCTTTGATTTATACAGTTAGAGACACCATTAAAACATAACAGTAACTTACATGTTTGAGCATGGGGTAAAGAGTGTACCTGTCTACAATTAACTGATCGTATTTCATTACCTCTACAGGCCTGGTCTGGATGTTACCATGGAGTGAGGAACACACAGATAGTAATGAAAATGAACAGACCACCAGTAACAGCAAAGTGACAGCAAAGGCAAACTGTGACCTGCAGGTTAAATCACTAGTTAATGGAGCAATGAAATATGATACTCCCCTCCAGTCCCTATGGATTCCAGTTGGGTCAGTGCTGAAGAGGATTAAGAGCATTGCATGCTCTGATCTGTGGGATGTATTTTTAGTACGGCTACTAATGTCTGTAGCTGTAATGCTGTATTATAGCAATTTTGTTCTGGCAATTGAAGAGAGATTTGGGGTGAAACCTAAGCTCACAGGGTACCTCATAAGCTATAGTAGCACCCTTGGAGCACTTGCTGGTTTTCTACTTGGACCAATAACTAGACTTTATCAACATAACACTTATGCACTTTTATTACATTCCACTGTTCTCACCTGTGTGTTGATAATGCTATATTCCACAGCACTCAGCATATGGACGGTCATTTTATCGTCAACATTTTTAGCGTTTTCAACCACTGTAGGACGCACTTGCATCACTGATCTTGAGTTGACCCTGGGTGGGAATCAGGCCAGTGGCACGCTCATAGGAGTTGGTCAGTCTGTGACATCTGTGGGACGCATAATTGCCCCTCTTCTCTCAGGAATTGCACAGGAGTTCAGTCCCTGTGGCCCTCCAAGTCTTGGTGTGGGGCTGGCGCTGGTAGCTATTTTGATAATGCTTGTGAACACACCACGATATTGCAGCGGTAGAACTGCTAAATTAAAAAGTGAATAGCAGCTTATTTTGGACAGGCTGGTGCATCATCAATAAAATGCAAAGCACTAAAAACCTGTATTGTACCAACAGGCTGTTTTCTCAAAGGAATGGTACAAGTTCAAGGGGAGGCCAGCCTGCCTGAGCCCTCAGATTCATACAGACTTATCTGCTGCAGGATCATACCTCAAGACAGGAATGCTCAGAGCTGTAGTTCAGAGAGAAATTATCTTTCAGAGGTGCAGGTATCATTTAAAAACTTTCGTAAATTGAGAATTGTATTTTCTTTGTGCTAATAAGGTTGAAATCCCTTCAAGAAAAATGATTCTGAGTATATAAATGGCTGATGAATAATCCAGTTTGCAGCCCCACATTGAAGCATGACCGTTAGAATGAGAGGCTCTTTGACTGAGAGAGACAGACTAGTGAAGTTTTTTATTTAGACATGTACAATTTGTTATGTGCACTTATCAGTATGAGACATTAAGGCTGACCTGTATAAACCATTGGCCTCCTGTGACAATGGCTTGTTGATAAATCAGAGGTTGCATATATAACTTGTGACACATGCTCTGCCTAGAAGCTTTCCCATGCAGCATAATTAGCCATTCCCAACTGGCTAGCTGACATTCTGCTTTCACTCCTCTGTCCCAATATTTCTGGTAAATAGGGCTGTGTGTGCTCTAGTGCTTATTTTTCTTTTATATATACTATATAAGGGGTATTTTAAGAGAAAATGCCATCGTGCAGAGTTAGGGTGATTGAAGATGAGACCATGTAAATTACAGTGAAATTTGCACTAGTGGTACCTGGACTAGTGAACACCTCCATCTGGCAACCTTCTCTCATAAGTGAGTATTTGAAGGAACTCCCAGAACTTCCTGTGCAATTTTGTTCCATCTTCATTTTAAGAATAACCACTCTTTCTTGTTCTTTAAATGGTTGTTTAAGATACTTTTTGGAAAATCTAGTGATGTTCTAAAGTGTTTGTTCCACGTAGGATTAATCCACTATTTTTCATCTTTGAAGACATAAATTTAAATCCCAATTTAGGTAATCAGGGAAAATGTGTGTTTGGCAGCTTAATCTTCGTTTGTCTGCATGCATTTTAGCAGGCCAAAGCTAATGGAGGTTGATGCGGGTAAAGATTGAAATGCATTGACAGATTTATGGAGATGGTTTCCATAGCGCTGACCGATACTATACAAGGTTCAAGTCAGCGTTACTAGCCCATCACGTTTTTGAGCATTACGTTTGAGCCACTGTTTTTAAAAAAAGTTTGTTCTTATAGTGCCTTTTATCTGAAAGTTTCATAGCACTTCCCGTTAAATTATTTGATGTAGTATACAAAGCCGCTCTACAGATTTTTTTAATTGAATTTAGCATATATGATGTGCACGTGCAACTTTAAATCTTACGTCAGAGCTGTCACAGATGGCATTTTGTAATTTTGTTTTTAAATCAACTTTTCTCCTTCTTAAAGTCTCTTCTCTTACAGAGTGCCTGCTCCTGTTTGAAATCACTGACAAAATCTCTTTGATCTCAGTAAGAGCACCATGGGAGCACATATATATATTTTAATAACTTTAAATTTTATAGGCGGACACAATGAGACTAGTCTATATATGTGCTTGTTTTCGGGAGGTACCCTTGATTTCTGTGTGAGAGTTAAGCTTCATGCAAAAAATGGAATCTTCTCATTTTTAATGTACTGTAGATTTCATCTTTTTTTTAATTGTGCCCTGGATAAAGTTTTGCTATGTGACTTAGGACTTGGGCTCCTAAGTGCCTATTGACTTTCAATTGAGACTTAGGCACCTAAGTCACTTTTGATAATTTTATCTCTGGTGACCATTTAAGCAAGAGCCTCAAAATATCGCCCTCACTAATTCCTTGCCCTTTTTCCCTCCACTAAGGAAAGAAACATAATTCCCCAGAACAGGGACCTTTACCATAGAATCATAGGAGATTAGGGTTGGAAGAGACCTCAGGAGGTCATCTAGTCCGACCCTCTGCTCAAAGCAGGACCAACCCAACTAAATCATCCCAGCCAGGGCTTTGTCAAGCCGGGCCTTAAAAACCTCTGAGGATGGAGATTCCACCACTTCCAGAGGTAACCCATTCCAGTGCTTCACCATCCTCCTAGTGAAATAGTTTTTCCTAATATCCATCCTAGACCTCCCCCACTGCAACTTGAGACCATTGCTCCTTGTTCTGTCATCTGCCACCACTGAGAATAGCCTCTTTGGAACCCCTCTTCAGGTAGCTGAAGGCTGCTATCAAATCCCACCCTCACTCTTCTCTTCTGCAGACTAAATAAGCCCAGTTCCCTCAGTCTCTTCTCATAAGTCATGTGCCCCAGCCCCCTAATCATTTTCGTTGCCCTCCACTGGACTCTCTCCAATTTGTCCACATCCTTTCTGTAGTCAGGAGCCCCAAACTGGATGCAGTACTCTAGATGTGGTCTCACCAGTGGCGAATAGAGGGGAATAATCACTTGCCTCGATCTGGCAGTGCTTCTACTAATGCAGCCCAGTGTGCTGTTAGACTTCTTGGCAGCAATGGCGCACTTTGCTACTGCCACTTGGAATGAAGTGGAAATAAAGCATAGTGAACTGGTATTTGGTATAAAGGATTTAACACCTTTGGTGGTCGTCTTGCCCGACAATCAACAGATAGAAAGTCATCCTAATTTGTGACACTGATAACAAAAGTGTGGGGCTTTCTTAGACCAAATGCACCATGAAATTAGTTTACACTAGATTTAACAATTGTCTGCATACCACTCTTTGGGGTGATAGGACTCAACACTTCACTTTTTATGTTTATGCACAAGCTGAAGCACTTTGTGCTTTCCACAACCTTTTTTTTATTTTTTTTATTTAACATTGATTTTTGGTTTGGAAGATATATTGTATTTTTCTTACTGTCTAAATCTGTATTATGGAAAATTAATATTTGGAGTGAGAAGCCTGTGGAAGATGTGGTCTCAGGGACATACTGTAGCTGATGCTACTGGACAAAGTGGCTGTATTTATAATATAATGTGATTTTGAAGTACTTTAGAAAGGATTACTCTCTGTAGTGTTAGTTACAAAAATTGCACTAAAATTATTTCTTTTAAAAAGCAATAAAGTGAAATGACATTCCATTTTTATTAATGTTTCAGTCATTGTCTTCTGTTAACTTTATATATTGTTCCTTGTAATGCACTTGAGAAGACAGGTGGCCAAGTCAATGGAGTTGGATGGGATGCACATCCAATGCAGTATTTAGTTTCCGTGACTGCCTTCTTTCAGTTCTTTAGTCTTCCTCTGCCTGATTGACTTCTTGGGTCCAGTTGACCTCTTGCTGCCTGATCAGCTAGGCACCCATTCAGGAAAACATCTCTATTCAGGACATCATTTAAGCATGTGCTTAACTTGAAATGCATATGTACATCCCACTGCCTTCTGCATGTACTTAAAGTTAAACATGAGTGCTTTCCTGAGTTGGGTCTAAGAGCAGAAGGAATTGGGGAATGGGGCTGAGAAGGCAGTTCAGTTGCATATGGTAGCTGAAGGGAGTGCAAGAGGGTTCTCTATTCCTTAGGAACTGCTGGTAATACCTTCTTGTTCTCTTATTCCTGTAGTCCCCAGAGATGAACGTAATGTCTCCCGCCCTGTCACCAGCTTCCCCTGCCAGTCCTGCTCTACAGCTCTCCTCTGGCTCCAGTCTATGCACCTCCCTGACCTGACCACACCCTTTTACACAGGAGGATGTTATTACTAGGGGCTGCTCCTACACTCTTCTCCCAATTTCCATGTTGTTCCTGGCAGTGCCTGCATCTGCAAGGTTTGGATTCCCCTCTGCGGAAGGTAGTTGCTGCTAAATGCTATCTTTGGAGATGCCAGCTTTCACTTAATGGCAAATGGGATTTGATCTCTACTTCACCCAGGAAGGCAGGGGCCATCAATGGATAAAAGAGAAACAAAGAAAGAAAGGGGAAAGAGCTGGAATGCAAGTTCTGAGACTGGGCGTCAGAGCCACGATTTCCAGTGCCTAGGAAAATAAGCTTGGCATCTTGCCATTCTCACTATTACCATCCCATGAGTCACACCTCACTGCTTTTCTTCTGCCTGGAGTCTTGTCTTGGGGGGTTTTTTGGCTTTGCAATTCACCTCTTGAAGCTTCCATGTTTAATCATTATTTCTAGTCCATATGACTGTAAAGAGAGCTTTCTGAACTTAAGACAGCACAGCTTTGACTCAATAGGCCTGCAGTTAAGGTTGAAACAATGGCTCGAAGCCAGTGGCATGAACACATTCAATCGGATATTAAGTCAGAAATTATTGATCATTATAAATAGCAACACACAATATTTCACTTCACAGAAATATCAAGCTAATGTTTTTATTCCATGTAGCTGAATGTTGCATACATGTGAAAGGATACTGCTATAAGCTTTCAAGTTCAACCAGATTTTATTTTTTGTGTTCTCTGTGTATGAATTTACTCCAACCCACTATCACATCCTGTAGAATTACAACAGCTTGCCTTCCAGAAAGTACTTCGTGAATTGAGTGATAATATTTTAAAGTTTCATTATAACCAGATGGCTAATCTCCCCCAGCCCTTCAATTTCAGTCTCCAATCTTTGAAATATGCCCCCACTACTTAACCTGACAGAACTCAGGTCCCAGTTGTCTCTGGACTAGACCAAGGATTTAATGCCCCAATGTGATGTCCTATTAGAGGATCTGTGCTAACCTGCAAGAAGTATTCTCTTTGTTAGGTAAACAAAGTGCTGATCACTATCACTATAGATCCCACAATATTTTTCACAAGGACAAGTATGTTAATTTCATCATCCTGGCCAAACTTCAGTTTAATTCTGTCTCCCTAAATTTCTCCCTTTGCTTCTGTGTTACAGAAATTATTCTGTCATTGCAGACTTGTTTTTCTTGAAGGGAATGAAAACCATGTCTATAGTCTATACATCATTTCCGCCAATAGATGGTGCTAGGCGACAGACATTTATTTGGCTTCTAATTTCCCAACACCCATGAACTTTCTTTGACATGGAATAACAAAAGACAAAATTCACATTATAGGCTGTAGCTGAAGGTGCTGATTAGAAAGTCTTAAAGATAATGTTCCAATTTACTTTCTCTCTGTAGGGAAAAAGGTAGTAAGAAACATACTTCAAAATATTGTGAGTCTGTAACTGTATGGTATGCGTTTACTTACTGCTTTTCATTCATAGATCTCAAAATGCATTTAAAAATAAGCATCATCCTGTTTTATAAATTAAGTAATTGAAGTACAAAGAGGTTAAGACCCAAGTTTCCAAAAAATGGCCCTTAATTTTAGGTGCCTCAGTTTTGGGGTATGCAATTTAAACACTTGGGGCTGTCTTTTCAGTCAGACTGAGTACCCACTATGCCAGCTGAAGTCAGTGGAACATGCAGGTTCTCAGGAGTTGTGAGAAATCAGGGGCCACTTTTGGAAATTTGACCCTAAGTGACTTGCTCAGTTAAAAGTCGCTGATTTAGTCCTTATCAGCAAAGGAAAGAGAGAGTGAGTAAACCAAACTAACCTTCTACATGCATAATGTTATCGCCTTTTTTTAAAGTCACAATTCAAACTTAATGCAAACCCCCAAATCATAATCTCATGATGGGGAAAATTTGGACCCGGATTCAAATGTGAAAATTCCAGCACAGGCTCATTTCTAATTCGGATATGACGAGAGTGAGGGAGTATATGCTGATCATTCAAATAGATGTAAAAGGGAAAAAAACCAAGATGCTGTTGAAAAATGAATTCAAAATTATTTGTATAAATTAACATTGTAGCATCACCTCACTCCATCATAAGCCAAAGAGAAAAAGATGGCCATGCACAGATGACTGATTCCCACAATAACTAAACATGGCCACAGTTCTTTTTGCAAAAATCAACATCTCACAGTAGAGAAATTATCTTGACGTGGGCCTTTGACTGAGACTTTAAAAAGATCATCTTTCCATCTGCATACAATTGAGAATTTGCATTTGACAGACGCGAGAACTCCACATAACCTGAACAGTAGAAAAGGATTACAGTAACTGCAGCAAAATTTAGGAAAGTTTGAGCCATCCAAAAAAACCCCCAAAACATCCCTCAAACATAAATAAAACTAAAACGGCCAGCTCTAAACTGAGATGAGAAAGACATGGGTGTTTTAGCAGCAGTAATAGTAATTTATTTATTTTATGGTAGTATCTAGTGACTCGAACTGATGCCCCATTGTGCAACATGCTGTACAAACAAAAACAAGAGATGGTTCCTGTCCCACAGAGCTTACAATCTAGGAAAAGACAAAACAGACAAAGGAAGGACTAATATCCCCATTTTACTGAGGGGATACAATGAGACCAAATGAGCCACCCAAAGTCACAAGCAGTGCTGAGAACTGGACACAGATTTCCTGAATCCGACTCCATGCCTCACCGTGACACCATCCGCCCTCAGCCTGTGATGAGTGTTATAACAGTTCTGCTGCATTTCCACAGCAGCCACAAACTGAGACAGAGGAGGCATCAACTCCTCTGAGGGCCCGATCCTGATAACACTCAGCACCTATCTACTCCCATTGAGATGAATGAAAGTTGCGGGCATTCATTGCACTGAAGGTGCTCAGCACCTTTCACTGGTTATATGCTGGGGGAAAAATGCTGATAGGATTACTCTGGAGCTAGTGTCCTTCACCTATCTTTACTGCCCATTTTCCATGAACTGAATGTGTTTCAGAATCTGCTTCTGTAGCTAGGTCTTCCTTTTCTGATCCTGTTCCAGCCTTCACAACCCCTAACCGCATCCTACTATCCTGGCCATTCTAACAATAATCTGCATTGATTAATGTATTTGTCTTGCAAGGTCTATGGGACAGGGGCATAGTGCAATTTTCAGTGCTATTCACATTAAAAATCTGATCTAGACAAGCAAAATTCAATCATAAATAACATCTTAAATGTACTAGAATATTTTTAAACATTCTCTTCATTGTATGAGGTTTTTAAAACATTCTTAGTTGGATAATTAAATATCAAACTTGGGCTATTTGGTTCCAGAGCTGATGGTTCCAGAGCTGATGATGATAAAAGGCACATTTTCCCCTTAGTAGTAAAAAGAACATAATTGTCAGAGCATTGCTAAAAGTTGTTCATAAAAGATGTTTTCTTTTGCATCTTGGGTTTAGTATTTGCTGTAGTATTTCATCCAGTTAATTATATGGGCATGCAACCCAAAGGATCCACACCAAGTTTTTAAAATAGATCCCATTGTCCAGTCAGATGGTTTAGAATACTAATTTAAATCTGTAGTTTATTATTGATAGTTCTACTTCAGCTGTTTTCAGTATGGCTGATTTGGAGATGTATTTTTATGCCTTTCAGCTTCTGATGCCCACCTGACTATTCGCGGTGGTGGCATTGGTCTTGTTGATCTAACATCTTCAGTCAAATTTTCTTCACTCACTGTTCCAAATCTTGGTCTCGATAGCAGTGGTTGCCTGAACCCTCCAGATGCTTGAGCTTCATTGTCCGTTTCTCTGCGATCTACCCTTCCATCCTGGTCTCCATTAACTTCATTTCTCCACTCCATTCTAAATTGCCGCAGTGGCTGGTGCTGGCTCTGGTCTCGCAAAATTTTTCGTGCTCTGGGTTTTAAATTGAGCACTGTGGTAGGAAGCTCCAATTCAGAGTCACTGCTGTCAGCACCCCCTACTGTTAATTTTAAAACAAAAATAAAATGTTAGTTGAAGAATATCACTGTCTACACAGTGCTGTAAAACAAAATAATTGAGCCATGCACAGTATCAACCACAAGAAATAAAAATGCTTATCTGTATTTTGAAATTCACAGCCATTTTGCCTGTTTTCCCAGAAATTTGCACAGATAGAATTTTGCACTTGTGCTCAGTTGGCTGAATTTTTCACAAGCATTTGTGACATTTCCAGTTATTCTAGACAGCAGTCCCATGTGCTCCCTTCCACTTACACGAGGGAAAGGGAATGCAGACATATGGATGGGGCTTCTAGGGCACTTGGGGTCGCAGGGCTTGGACCATAGGGCTAAATATTGCAGCGTAGACATTCAGGCTCAGACTGGAGCCTAGGCTCTGAAACCTGTGATGGGGGGGGGGGGGTCTCAGAGCCCAACTGACCCAGGCCCTTAGACTCAGTGACCCGGGTTTTTTATTGCAGTGTAGATGCATCCATAGGTTACATCTACACTTCGAGCTGGAGGTGTAATTCCCAACTCGGGGAGACATACCCGCACTAGCTCTGATTGAGCTAATGCACTAAAAATAGCGTTGCTAAAAATAGTAGTGTGAGCAGTGGGATGAGCTAGCTGCTCCGGTACAATCCCATCTGAAATACCAGGCGTGTACTTGGGCAACTAGCCCCTCCCACAGCGCCACGGCTACATTTCTGTTTTTAGCACACTAGCTAGCTTGGAGGGTATGTCTCCTCAAGCTGGAATTTATACCTCCAGCTCAAAGTGTAGCAATGTCCATACTGGGAAAGTGTCAGGTCTGCTGCATTTACTCCCTCCCCAGCCCTGAAGAACTCCCACTGGGAATGTTCCACAGATATTGCTTTGGTAGGGTTTGTATGGGCAAGAGGGGTGGATGAGCTGCTCTTTGCGATGTTTTGCCCTCTCTGTGCAGCCGTTATTACACTGGGCATCCTTGCCTAAGTAAATAGTACTCAAATCACTATAAAGTCAGCCTCTGTGCATGCACACTTCTCCCTGAAGGAACTGCATGGCCCAGGGTGGAGGAGGTCCAGAGAAGCAGCACGAAGGGACCAACCCTCCACCAGACAAAGGATCTTCCCTAGGGATCTGTGGAGGTGGTAGGTCATGTCTCCTCCTCTCTACACCACCAGAAGGGACAATGTCAAGGAAATACCATGTAGTAAATCTTACAGTTTCCAACCCCTCAGACCCCTTCTCATTGGTCTCCCCAGGGAAGAGTACAAATTGTCTCAATGAAAGCTGTGGTAATTTATCAACAAATAATCTTAAATGGTCACTGTCTGGTAGTTTAAGTTGATAATATTCCTGAAGATAGATATAGATCAAAATGATTTTCCGTTTAGCAGCATTCCTTTAAATTTCTTAATATTTTCCTCAATATTTGCATACTTTCCATAATTTTAATACTTCCATATTTTATAGCATTTACTATTTACAAATGAATTGTGGTATTTTCTATACTTAAGTCAGTTATGGTGCTTTAAATCTATTTTTAATAGTATTTAAGAGGAGTACATTGTGGGACTGTCATAGGAATGGTTCCCATTAGTACTCTTCACAGCATTTCTCTTGCATAAAGGAGGAAGAGGTCAACAAAATATATCCTCATATAATTGTCCATCCACCCACATAATTTCACAGAAAGAAAACCTTTCTCCATCTCTGGTGGCAGGCTTATTTCTTTTTTTTCTAAATGTGTCAAATTATATATTTTTTGACAATTGAATAATCTTGAGGCACATTTCCTTTTCAGTGTTTAATTTTAGGTGACAGTGGATGACCTCTGTAGACAGAGCTACAGAATAAAAGGCATCACTACACTCCAGGAGAGCAAAGACATAATTACCAACTTGCAAGGACATGGTCCATCGCTAAACTTGTGGGGGGGTCATATTCCACTAATTATGGTGGGCAGTATGGTCTGGAAATGTCACTGAATCTAAATGTAGGTTTCAGAGTAGCAGCCGTGTTAGTCTGTATCCATAAAAAGAAAAGGAGTACTTGTGGCACCTTAGAGACATGCTCGAATAAATTTGTTAGTCTCTAAGGTGCCATAAGTACTCCTTTTTAATCTAAATGTATTGCATCTTCCCAGGGGTAGCTCCTGATTGTTACTTTACGTGGGAGAGAATCAGATGGAGCTCATTCTATCTACTTATAAATTATAATAAAAATAATATAGAGGGCAAGCCAGAGATGTTCCATTGAAACCATTTTTCTATGGAAAACTCAGATTTCAACAAAACGAAATTTTTCACAAAGGCTGTCTACTTTCCATGGAATATTAAAAAAATTTTGGTGAGAAACCAAATGCCTAAACACCGGTTTGGCAAACACTGAGATATTTGGGGAGTGAAATTGTCATAAATATAAAGGGAAGGGTAAACCCCTTTGAAATCCCTCCTGGCCAGGGGAAAACTCCTCTCACCTGTAAAGGGTTAAGAAACTAAAGGTAACCTCGCTGGCACCTGACCAAAATGACCAATGAGGAGACAAGATACTTTCAAAAGCTGGGAGGAGGGAGAGAAACAAAGGGTCTGTGTCTGTCTGTAGTCGTCTTGGCCGGGGATAGACCAGGAATGGAGTCTTAGAACTTTTAGTAAGTAATCTAGCTAGGTATGTGTTAGATTATGATTTCTTTAAATGGCTGAGAAAAGCATTGTGCTGAATAGAATAACTATTTCTGTCTGTGTATCTTTTTTGTAACTTAAGGTTTTGCCTAGAGGGGTTCTCTATGTTTTTGAATCTAATTACCCTGTAAGATATCTACCATCCTGATTTTACAGGGGGGATTTCTTTATTTCTATTTACTTCTATTTTTTATTAAAAGTCGTCTTGTAAAAAACTGAATGCTTTTTCATTGTTCTCAGATCCAAGGGTTTGGGTCTGTGGTCACCTATGCAAATTGGTGAGGCTTTTTATCCAACATTTCCCAGGAAAGGGGGGGTGCAAGTGTTGGGAGGATTGTTCATTGTTCTTAAGATCCAAGGGTCTGGGTCTGTAGTCACCTAGGCAAATTGGTGAGGCTTTTTACCAAACCTTGTCCAGGAAGTGGGGTGCAGGGTTTTGGGAAGTATTTTGGGGGGAAAGACGCGTCCAAACAGCTCTTCCCCAGTAACCAGTATTAGTTTGGTGGTGGTAGCGGCCAGTCCAAGGACAACGGGGGGGAATATTTTGTACCTTGGGGAAGTTTTGACCTAAGCTGGTAAAGATAAGCTTAGGAGGTTTTTTCATGCAGGTCCCCACATCTGTACCCTAGAGTTCAGAGTGGGGGAGGAACCTTGACAGAAATACACTACAATGTCCAGAAAGACACATCACCCAGAGGGAGTCAAATTCATTCACTGACCAGCATTCTGAGCCAGTTGCCATAGTAACACTCAGCTTGTTAATAGTGCTTCATTTATAGCACAAAAAGCACTTTGCAAAAGAGAGTAAGTAGTATCCCCATTTTGCAGATTGAGAAACTGAGGCACAGAAAGACACATTGATATGCCCAAGGTCAGTGGCAAAGTTAGGACACTCACAGTCTATTCCCAACTCCTGCCAGATGTTCAATGACCTAGCCGCTGGTTATGGCTACTGTTCACCTGGTTTGGACTAGTTGTTCTCTTTGGACAATAGTCTGTGGATCTAAGATTTCATTCTTTCTAATGCCTGTGACAATGACTCTGATCTGCTGTGTATGGGTTGTAATGCAGAGAAGATACTCATTTTTTAGCATCAAAGTTTGGGGTGAAAGGAGAAGCAGGCCAGATGTTAGCATCTAACCTCATCTTTATGGGGGAATCTTTAAAGGGGATAATCCCTATGGTGAACATATAAACAGAGAAAGTCATAGACACCGAAACACAACAGGGGCCTGATCCTACAAACCTTCACTCACAGGACTAGGCTTGACTCATATGTGCCTGTTCCCACTGAACTAAATCATAATCTCTTACTGATTTCAGTGGTACAGAACTGCTACCATGCGAAATCTCATTCACTTTTATGGGAGTAGTTATGTAAGGACTACTCTCATGAGTAAGGGTTTGCAGGATTGGGCCTTAAATGCAGATATCCCTTGGTATTAAGAAAAAGGGAATCATGGGGGAAAGGTGTTTGTATTTTGAAGACATGTGAATCGAGGCCTAAATATTTTGCTTTTCAAATCTTTGTTGCCCTGATTTACTTATTTGTGTTGTTTCTTCTGACTCCCTTTTCAAATGATGTGACCACTTTTCTCTTCCTCCCACCCACTGAATATAGAGAGTGGAATCCTGGGCTCACTGCAGTCAATGGCAGAACTCCCACTGGCTTCCACAGGGCCAGGATTTCACCCACAGGGTCCAGGCTCTTGTTCTCACCATTCCCCCCTAGCTCGCCCCAAATTAAATATATTCTGCCGCCACCAAACTTTATTGGAGCAAAAAAGCCACTTTAATTCAGCTAATTATCAATAACTTATTTCATCTTAATTTGTAATTAGCACTGGCATGTCTTAATAGCCCTATAAGAGCAGTATTTGCAATGGCAAAGTAACACAATACCATCTTAGGCAGTGGTCCCCAAATTGTGGGGCACGCCCCACCTAGACAGTCGCGGAGGAACATTCAGGGGGGCATGCAGCGGGGTCTGGGCCAGCTTCCACAGGGGGCAGGAAGGGAGTGCCATCCAGGCCCACGCTGCTCCCAGCCCAACTCCGCCCCCAGCTGCAGCTCCACTCCACGCCCAGCTTTGCCCTTATTCCTTCTCCACCCCCAGTTCAGCCCCCAGCACCACCTTCAGCCCAAGCTCCTCCGCTGAGACTACTGTGCAGTAATGGGGGGGTTGGTGTGAACAGATTCTATTCCTGGTAAGGGGGTTGGGGGCACTGTTCCTTCTAAGCTTCAAAAATTTGCACAGAAGAAATTTTTTGCGCACACAAAATAACGTGTCAAAAATTAGAGGGAACATTGGCTGGGGGGGAAAGTGACAGGAAAAATATGGGCACCACTGCTCTAAGGTGACATTACAAAAATACTTCCTCTTCAGCTGAATAGTGCTGAGGTCTCAAAAACAACTGAAGAAGTTACTAAATCTGTAGTTTAGGAGCAAGGATATGGGCACAATCCTGCAAATCCTCACCCAAGCAAGTAGTCCTTACTCATGTGAGTAATCACGTTGATGTGAACGCTATGGCTTGCACGTGTAAGGATTACTCATATGGGTAAATGTGGCCCTATCTGGGGAGTCTGTCCATCCCAAATATGCCATATAGTAGGCCGTGCTGCCATTGGTATCAGAACATGTTGCATTACCTCTAAAAGATGTTTTATTCCTTATTCGTAATTTCTCTGGCAGTTTAGCGTCTTTAGGCAGGGACAGAAACCGTGTTGCTTTGGAGAGAGCCTGTATAAATAAATGCAGGAAGTGTTAAATTATAGTAGAGTGAAATATCACATAATGAACACCAGAAACACAAGGGAGATGTCTGAAAGAGTTTGTCTACTTTAGGAAAAGAGCTGAAGGTTAGGCTGAGGTTAGCAAACACATGATAGTTGATCATGATCTTTTCCCACCACAGACCCGGGTTAATCTTTTGCCTCAGTTTAGCTGGCTGAGGCCTGCCCTACCCAATGAGAAGCCTAAGGTTAATGTCAGCCAGCTAAATTGAAATAAAATATATTAATATGCATCTATACTAGAGAAAAGGTCTGGATAGGTCAGAGTTAGTTACATGTTCATTAATCCCAACCTTTCCTTAACCACTTTTGCTAATGTAGGAAAACCCAAAGTCTTTCTATACACAATCCCTGTTCAGAACTTTATTACTTAGTTATTAAAATTAGCTCAAAGTTGAAAGTTGGCTTACAAACTCTCAGAGCAGGAATAAATCTAGGCCCTGATCCTGTAATCACCTATATATCTGAGTAACTTGATACATGTGAGTAATCCCAGTGAGGTCATGGGGCAACTCATTGCATAGAGTTAAACACATGTAAGTGTTTACAAGAGGAGGGCCTAAAGACCTAGCTCCTGCAAGGTGCTGAGCCATTAAAATCATGTGGAGTTGAAGACACTCAGCAACTGGTGGTAGGTAGCTTACTGCATAGGACTCTTAATTTTTTATCTACAATTTCTCAAGTGAATCCAGTTTGTGAATCACTGTCAAGAGAATTTTTTATATAACTTTTAAAATCTGCCCCCTTTTCCTATCTACCCATCCCACTCGTGTACCCAAAAGAAACTTGAAATTGAAATCCGTTTCCTATCAGACATTTGTCCTCTGGATACTGCAATGCTACGCATGAGCACTGAGCTGAAGGCATATTGGTTAAGTAAAAAAATCCAGCATTATTTAAGAAAAATTATTTTAAAATTTACTGTCTGTGCATTTTGACAATCTGACTCGGACCCCCTGTTCCTTTTCCCACCCACAAAATTTCTTTGTCCTGTATTTCTCTCTGGCATCCCTGACTAGTAAATCAGTTATTTGCATGATCAAGGCAATGTGTAGCCATGGCTGCAGGGACAGAAAAATACTGTGATTCCAGAACAAGATCCAGTATTACACGAAATGCCATGGTAGCCTCAATAATGATAACCAAATACAGTGATTCTCGCAGATGTCACTCTGATCTCAGCTGTAACAATGAGTACAGTAATTACAAAGTAACCATGGAATGCAACAATAAATATTCAAAGAATGGTTAATTTTCCATTCTCCTAAAGTGGGTAGATGGATTGATTTCAAAGCAGCTACCAGTGTGGCCTCTGCTGGAAGACCCTTTCCCCCTAGTCTTTCAGATATGACCGGAAGTTTGTGATTATTTCAGTACAGGTTGACTCAGCCCTTCACATCATTTGAAGCAGAATAAATTGCATACCATGCAATTTACTTGGTGGGGAGAGGGGTCCTTTATGTGCCTCCTCAAAGCTGGAGGTTTTATATGCCCTCTGTGGATATTGCAGAACGCCTGGCACTTTTCAAATGAGGGGGTTGGTCTGCTGAGCTTGGTCAAAATTTCTCCTCTTTACATTGTTGCAGAGCATCCTATGGACAGATTTTCTGCCTCAGTGCCACTGTCTATCTCAGCCAAGCAGGCTCTATTAGCATACAGCTGTGTGTCTGTCATGCTATGTGTATGAAGTTTGTGAAGTTCTTTTTGTGGACATTTCAGATGACAGCTGCAATAGAACCTCACCCTACAACATGTTCCACCCAGATGCAACTGCATGGCACTCTGTGGAGGTAAATGGGGCTTCGCACAAGCTCCAGGGCTCGTGCACAGAACAAGGTGCAAGATCAGAGCCTAAGTGTCAGTATTACAAATGACTGATTTTTACATGTTCCCTTACACATTCAAATTTTCCTGTGTTTCAGGGGGACATTTTGCATGATATTTAGCTATGACGAGTTCTTTTCTACAAACATACTAAAATGCAAATACCGGTTTGTCCCTAGACAGGCTGCAGGTTTTCTTTACACTCTCCCTCAGGCTGTGCCGGCGACGGATAAGAATTTCTTTGGCCTGTTTTTCACTTGCATCTGCAGCCAGGCTGTGTCTGTTATATGACATTGTCTGAAAAATAAAGGCAGTGGTAACATTTTCAGAAGCACAATGGCAAATGCATTGAAGATTTACAAACAGCACAAAGTGCACTCTTTGCTTTAATGTTCTATTAAGTGTCACAAATATCTTGCAAACCAAATCACATTAAACATTGATTAAGAACAATCTGAGTGATTAGGTCAATGTTTCTTTAGTCATCTGTTCCGCAGGCGTTCTGTTCGGCACCTGCCTTTGTTAAATCTGCCAATATTTATCATGAAAAAGAATTGGGGGGAAATGGCTTCATACAGTGTTTATGCCAGACTCACACTAGCTCATTCAATGTGTCAATTGAGGACACTCGTTTGAAGGTGATAAGATCAGTCACCAAAGGGGGAGAATATTTTCAGCTCCAGCCAGCTCCTCATTTGAACACCTTCCAAAAACACAGACACAGGAGCCATTTTAGCCACAGGAGGGTGTAAGTACCGTGTCCTTTTTGCTTTTAGTTCACGACTTTCTCAGCTCATCAATTCGTACTCTCAATAGAAACAACCGCACAACCACTGAAAATGAGCAGAGCAGTCTCACATCAAGAGCTGACCAAAACACTGGCATGACAGAACTGGGACAAAACTGGAGTTTGGTTTCATGGGGCTATGTGCACATGACCCTTCAAAAGTAAAGTAAATAAGCTGGATGTAATGTAACAATAATATTTAGCAGCCATACAAAGGTATAAACACCAGTAAAGCCCTTATGGCTTATTGTGAACATAAAAGAGACAGATCCTCAAGTGGCATAAATCCAAATGGAGCTCCACTGATTTTCATCAGCTGAGAATCTGGTCTGAGAATGGATTTTACAGATAACTTTTACATTCAAAACTGATGTGGGACATTCTATTAAGTATAACTTCACCCTTACTCGATGTCGTATTTGATAGAGATTCTTTGTTAATATTTCTCGCATATTATCCATTTCAGCAGGGGAAAGCGGCCTTACTTTATCTTCCAACAGATAGTCACTGTTGCAAAGTAGAAAAAAAAAGAGAGCGAGAGAGAGAAATGCTTAATACCTGATCATACAAATTAAAATTACCAATTTTCTTCCTTAGAGATAAAAATAACATTTTACATGGGAGGGGGGATTTTTTTTTTTTTTTTTTTACAAGATGAAGGTGTAATCCTGACTCAAAGTTCAAAACTCACCCAAAAATGTCATGCTCTCTCAAAATTCTATACAGGTTGGATTAAACTACAGATTTGATTGAGGTACTTTTCAAAGTGCCCCGAAACCTCCTTTCCAGCTGCTGTACCCAGGGCTGGCCCTAGACTAAATGGACCCCCCACACACCCACCCACCCCAATTTGTTAAACTTCTGAATAACTTACAGCAACCTGAGCCCAGCGCCCCCAAGCCCAGCACCCCGGGTGGTCGCCTGCCCCTAAATCCGGCCATGGCTGTACCAGCTGCTTTCAGAAGACCAGGCACTGTCCCAAAAGTTAGACTCAGCTCCCTATGGGAATGTGCTGCACTCTGGGATACTTGTGCCATAAGGCTCTCCAACCTGAAAGAGCAAAGGTCACCTTCAGTCTCTGTGGGCTGAAGGTGAAACTGAGCAACAATGAATCCCTTCACTTCTCTTAGTGGGGCAGTGCCCAAGCGACCCCAAAGCTACAGCCATCTCTCTCGCTGATAGTATTCATTTCAGATTCATTGTGGGGAAAATGGTAATTGCACAGTCAGTGTCAGGCAACACTAGGATACCAGCCTTAAAGAAGAGATGATCCCTGTACACAAATGGTGTAGTATAATAAACCCACACACCTACATGGAGGTTTATCCACACTGGCTTTACTCACTTGAGAGAATCTGAGGATGGGACTGTACTTATCATCCCACTTTCTGCCATCTCAATGGCGTGTTTGATTTCCAGCTTCTTATACAGGGAAACAATGCTTGATTTGGGCTGGTTCTCCCGGATTAGAAGTCTCCGCAGGAACTTATTGTCAAATTTTTTAAACCTGTGGGGGAGGCAAACCAACCCGACCAGTTAGATTCTGTTACAAATAGTTTGGGAAAGCAAATATTCCATGGCTGCAGCGATGGGGATGGAGGTTACTCCCTGCAGGATGGATTTCTGGCATGTCTATCAAATATCATTGAATGAGGTAATCAAGGATCAAGTAAATCTTTCTTTTTGCTGGGACTGGCCTATGTTTGGGCTCATACATTCATCCTCTAACAGTGACCTTTAGCTTTTAATTGTGTTGGCTTATTGACAATTATTATTTTTAATTAGCCATTTGCCTAAAAGACAAAGGGAGCAGTAAATATTACTGTAATAGCTACAAAAAGGCCTTGGCTTGAACTCACTGCCTTTCATGCTCTGAACTTTTAATGGCCCCCTGAAAAAGAACATTCAAATTTGTTAGAAGTTCTTGCCTCTAGTGCAGCAATTGGATGCTTACTGAACCACTATTGATCCTCCTTCTCCTTACTAAGTTTGAAATAAAACCATCCAGAACCGGGCAACAGACAATCCGCTGTTCAGATATTCAACTCTTTCAGGCACCTCAAAGTCAACTAGTTCCTGAGTCTTCCTGTGATAAGAGCCAAAGGATTCTGACTGGTTTCCACCAAGCAAGGAGCTAACCCTGTGCTTCAACATTACAAAGCCATACAGGCTGGAATAGCAAAGCAGGCTGGGGACTACAGGTTTAGACAGACTCTCAAAAACCATACAGAAAACATTGCAAAAACAGCCAGAAATGGGGAACGAAAAGTGTGAGGTGATGGAATTCCACAGCCATGGGTCAGAGGGCTGGGTTTTTTACCTTGCCTTAGGGTTTTGTTCTGTTTTCCTGTAGTTTTGTAAAACTGTTTTGTCTCACGGTGTAACCCACGCATGCTAAAACCAAAGCAAACAGGAGTAAAACCCTGAGGCGTCAATCTGCTGCCTGACTGGCTGCTTTTGCAGTTGGTGGGCCAGCTCATCCACTCAGTCAACTTAGTCTCCCTTCTACAGTGAAGAGTTTTAAATAACATTCTTACTTATCTTTCCAAAAGTTGTGACCCCAGTGTCCGCACACATCTTCAATTCCCGTCTTCACATGATCAAAGAACTAAAGGCAAAAATACAGATTCATTATGAATTCCCACAGACATCATTTAGCTTGCTCTTAGATATGACATTTTAACAATAGCTTAGTTAAATCACTGAAGTCTTGTCTATATTAGAAAAGTTGCACCAGTTTAACTCAATCAATTCAAAAGTCAATCGAGTTAAAACAGTGCAAATCTGTAAAGTAGAATCATAGAACCACAGGGTTAGAAGGGACTGCAAGGGTTAATAGATGCACTTAAACCAGTTTAGTCTGTGTTGAAATTGCTTTAGGTTGACTGGAAGGATTGTCGAGTGCTTCGGGCACTGGCCTAGGACTCAGGAGACCTGGCTTCAATGTCCTACTCCACCACAAACTTCCTGTGTGACCTTGGGGCAAGTCACTTAAGGTACATCTACATTGCATCTGGGAGCAAGCCTCACAGCCCAGGGGCACAGATTTTTGTTAGCGGGATTCATGCTAGCGTATATAAAAATAACGGTGTAGACGTTGCTTTGATGTTGTAACTTGGGCTCTCAAACTGGGGTGTGTGGGAGAGGCTTAAGAGCCTGAGCTCCAGCCCCAGCAGCAAAGTCTACACGGCTATTTTAGTATACTAATGTGATCCCCGCTAACACAGGTCTGTGGACTTGGGCTCAGAAGCTCGCTCCTAGATGCAGTGTAGACATATCATCAGGCTTAGGCCCTTAAAAGCATTAGGCTCCTAAATTCCACTGAAATCAACTGGAGTTAGGTACCTGAACACCTTTGAGGATCTGAGCCTTCATCACTCTGTGCTTCAGTTTTCCATCTGTAAAATGGAGATAATAGCACTTCTCTACTGCTCCGAGGTGTGCTGTGGGTAAATACGTTACAAATTGTGATGCAGCCAGCGTGGGATTCACAAATGTATTTAGGCACCTAACTATGGGAGTATGTATCTTAGATTCAGAGAGAAATTGATGTAAGGTAGGGTTAAACGTGTTTAAGTGTATCTACATTAGGGTTTGCACTGGTTTCACTAGTTGAAGTTAATATCAGTTTAGTTAAACATGTGCCACTGTTCTAGCATAGGCAAGTCCTAAAACTGCAGCAAATTCATATATAAAGAGTAAAAGGAATGTAATTTTAGCACAGCAGATCAACAATTTAGAAAATGAACAATCCAAAGGCTAATATATATATAAAAGAAAGGTTATCTCCTTGTGGCACAGGCTTATTACAGGTCAAATCTGGTCCTACTGAAGTCAATGGGAGCTTTGCAATTGCCTGCAATAGAGCCAGGATTTCACCCTATAATGCTGAAGTTATGGCATACCCGACTGTAAATTTCTTCACTGACAGCTGGCTGCTTTTTATTCGATCTTTTAACATCAAGAAACTCCACCAGTGGGCGAATTGTTATTCCCTGTACAGAAAACAGAAAAAAAATCCTTGTTTACTCATAGACATAAAGGAATAGAGACATACATTTCAATCATATGCCTTCTTTTTTTTCAGTCAAAACTGTGACAACCAGCCTGAGGGTCCTCATGGCTCCTCAAAGACAAGTATGGTACAGTAGTTTCAAATATGAATTCACCCCTGTAATTAGCAAGTGTTGCATTTAGTCGGCAAAGTGCTCTCTCACATAACACAGTCCCCACTAGCAAATCAGAAATGAAGGGAATCTCCAAACTAGGATTGATGTCCATAAAAAAAGGATGCATTCATCTGACAAATCCTATTAGTGACATGGCACTTGCTAACGGCAACCATTTTTTTCCAGTAAAAGTTTTTCAAGAATTCCGCGATGAAGAAAAACAATCAGCTTTTGAAACCAGAAGCAAATCTTTCATAATTCAAACACAGATTTGTTACATTCTCCATCAGCTATTGTTTTAGAAATTAAAATTCAGGGCTGACTAAATAGTAATATGGAAATTAATATCCAAGAGTAGGTGACAGTGGAATTTCTGGTTAGTATTTATCCTCAGTTGGTTATTTTAAGAGAAGGCACCAACTTCTGACTTGCCCAACATGCTGTGTTGGCTTTTAACATTTACTTATGGAGGAAATGACTTCTTTTTATATTAATGCTACTTACACATTAACATAAGCTGTTAATAAATACCTGACACACCTTTGCTGCCTAGCTGCTGGCTACACTGCATTTTTAGGTATGGTCATGTGACAAAACCCTCCGAAAAAGGCTCATTCAGGCAGATTAAACATTTTGATTTTCTTCTCAAATGCTTCTTCACAAAACATCTGGGAAACAAAACCTGACAGGAGGAGAGTTCTCACCTGAATGAAAACGGTAAAGAATATCACCACAATAGTAGCAGTAATGAACAATTTCTTTCTGGGGATCACAGCAGCAGGAAGCAGAAAGACAAGAGAAAAACAGATGGCTCCTCGGAGACCTCCATAGGCAATAATGAACTGGTCCTTAAAAGTTAGAGGAATTGTCCGGAACACGTTAATGATCTGAGTCAAAACAAAAACACCTGAGGAAAGGATGAAGACAATAGTCTTAGGGAAAATTGAGGTGACATGCAAAGCCTCATCATTACTGATGTTTATTTTTATGACACAGAGTTTATTTGTTTTTGTTTTGTTTTTTTTAAGAAAGGAAATGTCTGTTTACCAGATTGAGAGATTTTTAATTTAAAATGTTGGTAACATTTTCAAAAGTTCCTAAGAGACTTAGGAGCCCAAGTCCTATCTTCAAAAGTGACTTAAGCACTCCGGTGGCTAAGTCTCATTGAAAATGAATGGGCTTTAGCTCCTAAGGGCCAGATTTACAAAACTATTTAGGCACCTAGGTCCACCCGGTGAAATTTATATAAGCATGAAAGCTGGTTAGGTGCCTAATTCCCACCTATGGGAGTCTTTGGGAGCTCAGTTAAACTCCTAAGAGCTAGATTCACAAAGGAACTTAGCCATAGTGGTGCTGTGTGTCACAACACCTAACTGTTAGACAACTAGAAATCACCAGCATTCACAGTCAGTTCCCCAGCCAAGCTAGCCTATGGGAGATGCTGAGGAGAGGGTTGTGTCCTAAACCCCACCCTTCTCAAGCTCAAAGAGTTAGACACCTAAATCCACATTGGATAGAGGAACCTCCCTCTGCTTTGGATTCTCAGCTGTGAACTCCCTTGAAATTAAATTCCTATGTTGTTTTCTGCAAGAAGCCAGAGGGGAGAAGAAAGAGGAGCTCCCACGTAGCTTTTAGTTCAGTGGCACAATACTCACCTGGGATGTGCAAGACCCCTGTTTCAAGTCCTCCCTCCCCTTGAGGGGGAAAAGGGGATCTGCCACTTCTCAGGTGAGTACCCTAGTCACTGGGCTATGGGACATTCTGATACGGGGGTTCCCTCACTCTTCTGTTGAAGCTGTTCCACTGTTCCATATCATTAAAGAGGTACTGAAGGAGAAGGAGAGGACCTTGGGTCTCCCCCGTCCCTGGTGGACACTAGGTGTCCTAAACACCAGACTATAACTGAGCAATTGTCAGCTCTTGTGCTTTCACTCTCTCTGGCCCAATGACCCTTTAACTATTTATCCACAGTGGAACAGCTTCAACAGGAGAAACTAAGCCCCACATCAGAATACCCCACAGCCAGTGGTTAGAACACTCCCCTGAGAGCCAGGGGATCCCTGTTCTAATCCCTTCTCCTCTCAGGGACAGAGGGGACTTAAGCTGGACATCTCCCACATCCCAGATGAGTACCCTAGCCACTGGGCTAAAGGTTATGAGGGAGCTTCTCCTCCTTTTCCTCCTCCCCCCATTTTGTGTGAGGCCCGATTCAGTAAGCAGACCGGATTGGGCCTGCAAGGAGAGTTAGGTGGAGAAGCACCTATCCTCCTCTGGTTTGTGCATTACTCCGGAGTTTAGGCATACAGACACCTAACGTGAGGCTGCAGTGCGCATGTGCAGAGGTGGAAACATGGGTGTCTACAGAACTTTTAATGCAAAAACGCAGGCACTGAGCAAGTTTGACACCTATAGGGTTTGGTGGCAGCTGAGGGGGGTGGGGCTTGTGAATCCCGGTAGGGCCTGATTCTGAGATTTAGGTGCCTAAATGCACATTTCACTTGTAAAGAATGCTCAAGAACAAAGTTGCATGTCAAGACTTTCTTACCCAGTGCACGCCAGATCAAACAGAAGAGGAGGGTGAAGCTAACAAAGGCCCAATTCCATTCATGGTTTTTTCCAACCGTGGACACTCCCATGAAAATAAAGATCAGGGTCTCACTGACACTGCTCAGCATCTTCATGAAATACTTTATGGTTGTGTAGGACTTCTGGGAAACATTCTCCTCCACATACTTATTCATGGTCATGGCACAAGCTGTTATCCTGCAAAGTTAAACATTAGCATTTAGTTTATTTTTTAAACCCACTCATCTAAAGAGAACCCTATTGCAATGTTCAGCTAGGAAGGACTCCCTTCGATATTGGTCGTCTCTTAAATAAAAAGCATAATTAATTCTACCAATTACCTATTTTCAATTATATATGTAGAATGTATTTATCGAGGGTTTTTTTTCACAGAGATGTGTTTTCTAAAGAAGTATTAGTTTGGAGAATCTTTTCTCACAGGCTGATCCACACAGCTAAAATGAAAGGCCCTCTGCAGGGTCACTCAAGATTCTAATGGTGAGTTTTCAAAACAACCCCTTCAAAGAAACACAAAGCAAGACATCACACCTGTCCTTCAGCATACGTATGTTGCCAGCATGAGTGACTGAAATGGGGATGCTCGTCACAACCATCCAACATATGAGGGAGGAAGCAAAGCTTACTAAGACAGACATAGACAGCAAGAGCCAAGGACCTAGTAGTTTCTCTCTATTAAAGAACAACATCCGTATTTCTCCCTTATTCCTCCGTGTCCTCTGATAACAGGTATTTCTATGTCCTTGTCCATGATGGTCATAACTCAGTATAATAATCTATTTCTGTTCATGGACTGACTCTGAAACAGGGGCCTTGGGTAAAAATCTCAAAAAGATCTTAACGTTTCAGAATAGCAGCCATGTTAGTCTGTCTTTGCAAAAAGAAAAGGAGTACTTGTGGTACCTTAGAGAATAACAAATTTATTTGAGCATAAGCTTTCGTGAGCTACAGCCCACTTCATCGGATGCATGCAGTGGAAAAACTGAAGTGAAGTGATGAAGTGAGCTGTAGCTCAAGAAAGCTTATGCTCAAATAAATTTGTTAGCCTCTAAGGTGCCACAAGTCCTCCTTTTCTTTTTGCGAATACAGACTAACAAGGCTGCTACTCTGAAAACTATTATTTTTAGTGCTGCAGCACAAGCCCCGTGAGACCAAGTAAGCTGATCCACGCTCTGAGACTGGCTGATGCAGGGTGTTGTTTGCTGTGTAGATGTATCCCTGGTGTCTTCCAGTTTTCAGATGGTACTGTCCCTTCAGTATTCAGCAGGCTGCTCAACTAAACCTTTAGTCGCACAGCACTTATGTCATAATGGAATATTGCAACCAATTTATGAGCAGGCACAGTGATGTCCAAATAGATGGACATAAGTGTAGGAAGCTAAGTGACTAAGAATTTACCTCAAGTGTGTGTGCTGAGAGCATGATCCCTAGCTGAGATTGTCAAACAGCTGTCCCCACTGTGCTTAAGGGGATATGCTACCACCAATACAGCTCTTTGCTGATTTCCCAATTAAAAACTGGCTTCATATAAACCTGCATAAGAGTTTTTGGTCAAAGCACATGAAGCCCAGTGGTTTGCAGATAGAGATGGAAAGACATGTATCCATTTTGCCTTTCTGCATGTGGACCCTGAAAAATAGCCTGTACTAAAGCTGCACATCCCAGCATGCGACCATAATTCAATTCCTTATATGTTTGACATGTGTGTTACAACACTCAGAGTCACAGAAAATTCAGGCTAAACTTGGACCTATACTCTTCTGGTATTTGGGACATGGTTTTCTGTTCTCCAGTAGGATGATGCCTCTTGTCTGTCTGTTGGAGACTTTCAGGGCAGAGGGCACTCAGCTGAGAATGTTCAGCCCCTCGTCACAGAGTCCCACCTTTGAGACAGCCTTATCATCCCTGTCAGTCATAACCGCCCCTCTGGGGCACGGAAGAAGTGGCACTCATAGAGAAAGGTCAGGCCAAACCCATTGAGGGCTCTAGAGATCTGAATCAGCATTGTTATACACATCCAAAATTGAAAGGAGAGCCAATGCAAGGTACAAACACAATGAGACAGTATGTGCTCCATAGTATGCTGCAGTCGTCCAGTCTGGAGGTGGCACTACAGGATAACCAGGACTAGGACTGTCTTCTCGTGGAAAGAGCAAACTAAATGTCCTTGAACACCAAAGAGGGAAGAAGGCATTTCTGGTGATAGATCCTATTTGTGCATCCAAAGTCAGCAGTGAGTCCAAAGTGACTTCAGAATAATGCACTACTTTGAGCAGCTGTGGGAAGATGACAATGGGAGAAGTTGAGGTTGTAGTTGCTGACACTTTCTCAAAATGTTACCGTCTCCTACTAAAACTGCTTCTATCATTTCCTGATTTAGCTCGATCTTTTGTCCAGGTTCCAATTTCCTTCAGATACTGGGAGACAGTGTTGTTTGCTCTGGATGAGAAAAACTAATAGCTGATTATATTAAGTCCTTGACTCTTCTAGGATCCCTTGGCACAGCCAGAGCCATCAGTGACTGATGAGTCTTACCCCAGTCGGGGGGGAATCCAACTCTTCCCTCTCCTTCTGGCAGGCAGGGCTGGAGCTGTGTGCTCTGCTGATCCCTGACTAGCGGAATGGTCCCCAAGAGAGTGCAGTATGATGAGTGGAACTGGGAAAAGAGGGTCAGGTTTTAGGAGGGAATGAGTTTGGTGAAGAAACAGGTGCCCAAAAATGCAAGTTGGGTGGGGCTAGGGCTAGGCTAGGCCATTACCACTTACACAGCAGATCCTCATTGTGCAATACTGGCCCCAGCATGCTTAATAACAATCTCTTTCCTACAATGCTGTCTTCCTGCAGGCTCACTTATTGCTAATGAAACAGAGACCAGTCAGTGCAATCTGGAGCAGCCATTTGGCTCCTCTAATGTGCTTTGAGGCCTGTCCCTGTCCCTGGACAAGTTTAGGATGGAGGAGGAATAAAGCTGGTTTAGAGTTACCTTTGCATCCCCTGGCCCTCATCTGTGCTGAGCATGAGTTTGACATTGGTGAGGATTGTGTCAATATCTCCTCATTGTCTCCCCAGTGCTTTTATGCAGTGTTGAGTAAAACTGAAACTAGGATGTAGTCCTCTGGGTCCCTACAGAGGGACTCTTTGGAAAGAGGAGCTCGTCATGACAGTCCAGGACCTGTCAGAGAAGAATGGGTGAAGATCTCATTCTTCCCCCCTCAACACCTTTGGTTTAGCTTGAATGTATTGTCCATGATAATGTAGCCATTGTCTTTTGCCAGGACTCACTAAGGTTAGCCTGAGACAAATCCCAGAAGGCTATGTGAAGAAGGGTGTCTAAGCAATATAATATTTCACCTTCCTAGCTCACGAAAGCTTATGCTCAAATAAATTGGTTAGTCTCTAAGGTGCCACAAGTACTCCTTTTCTTTTTGTGAATACAGACTAACACGGCTGCTACTCTGAAACCTTCCTGGCTTTCTGATTTATTGGAAGCCTGGCCATCACAGTGTACAAACTAAATAGAAAATGAAATGAAGTGTTAGATTCTATTGATTACCCTCTTAAACTTAATTTTTATCATGATTACAGACATGTAGGAAAGCCCTGCAACTCCAGGGTGAGTCAGACAGTTCTGGAGCAGTTTGTTTTTGGATCCTGAGCTAATGGAGACTCTGTGTGCGGATGTCTGAAAAGAATCTGTCACCAGATTAATTTGTCCCTCTGTAACTTAATACATCTCATATTTTTAACCACTAAAATTTAAAGGGACAGCATCCTCATTTTTTATATTTTTTTCCAATACAATATTACTTTCGCTTATTGAATGTCAGTAACTGACTTAATGCAGTAATGTACAGGGATTGAGTCGTGCTAAAAATCTTCATTAATCTTCAAATGATGAATATGCTACAATTAGTCAATGTGTAATTTTGCATTTGATAGCTCTTTAGATTAGTTACTTCTGTTTGAACAAAAAAATCCTATGTGAGTTTCTTCATTTGGCAAAATGAAATTACAAGATAGCTACCAAACTTCTAAAAGGTGCAAAGTACAAATATTATTTTAATATTTTCTTTCCAATGGAGGTTAATATCATCAACATAATCTGCAAGTGGGAAAGCCTGGGTGTTCTCTTCATTTTGTTTTGTACTTCCTGTTCACATCCAATTTACATGTAGCTCCTGCATTCTTTGCCCTCAGACTGTTGACTCTGCCATGTTAAAATCAGGAAAAGAATAAAGGACTGATTACCATCAAACTGTATTTTGTCTCCCTTTGACGAATGTAAAACCACTTGCACTAACAGTGCAGGTTTTGTTGTGGCTGGAATAAACTAGAGCTCTGTATTAAATCCTCAAGTTTCTTTGACGTACTAAACTTAACGGTCGTTTCAGTGCGTGTTTCTTGTAGGCTGTTCATTCATTGTTGCAAAAAAAGAAACACATTAATAGTTCTGCTGTTTCACAGCCCTTCTAAAAATTATAAATAGAAAATGTAGCCGTATAACTTGAGGTGGCACTAGCCTGAAAAGTTCAGCTCCACAGCGACTTTTTCTCGTTCATGGTTTTGATTCAGGCCCAGCTCTAATTACAGCGTAATACATGTCCTTACCTTCAGAGGAGAACACTCTAATCGGGACTATCTAGGAGATGATTAATCCATTACAACCAACTATTTTTGATGAGTCATCTGGCCAGGAGTTATAAATGGCTGTTTCAAGAATCACTTGTCCCCATGACAAGTATGTTGCATGGGATATTTTGGTTAAAAGGAAAAGGCATTAACTCCTTTTTTTCCTCTTTTCCTCTGACTGCAATCAGTTTCACAGCTGCACACAGGTGAGGAGACAGGGTCAATAGATATTATTTATTCGATAATGCTGCATTTTCCTTTCCAGTAATTTACCAGTGCCACAACTTTAATATGTCAGTTTCAGTGTTTCTTCCATTCAAGTTTCAGAGTAGCAGCCCTGTTAGTCTGTATCCGCAAAAAGAACAGGAGGACTTGTGGCACCTTAGAGACTAACCAATTTATCTGAGCACAAGCTTTCGTGGGCTACAGCCACTTCACTGGATGCATAGAATGGAACATATAGTAAGAAGATATAGATATATATATATATATATATTGCCATACAAACTGTAAGAGGCTAATTAATTAAGATGAGCTATTATCAGCAGGAGAAAAAAATTATGTTCCATTCTATGCATCCGATGAAGTGGGCTGTAGCCCACGAAAGCTTATGCTGTAATACATTTGTTAGTCTCTAAGGTGCCACAAGTACTCCTTTTCTTCTTCCATTCAGGTAAATGGAATCTGGATTTTAGAAGTTCAGGGCTAAGTGGCTGTGATATATGAAAACCTACAGCTGGGGGGCGGGGAGAAGAATGTCTTTGAAAATAATCTGAAATTAATCTTTGAAGCAGCATGTTTTAAATTAAATGTACACAGCCTTCCATCTGCATTGGTACAGTGATTCACTGTTCAATCATCTCTGGCACCTGCAGCTATCATGTATGCTTCAGACATGTCAACCACCTTTTCCCACAATGTAAGGATCCAAGACTTCTACCTGAATGATAGAGTAAACACCACTTTCAACCTCATTTTCAAAACAGAGAATATTCTGATTTTCTAAATAATACACTATAGGACTGTTCTGATATTTCATAACTTCTGTCTAGACAGCAAATAGACAAAAGTGGCCGGGTTTAAAGTCTTCTACAAATGATGAAACGTCTGGCAGTGCTGTCTTCTCCAAGTACTGCACTGCAGGGTCAGCACTCACTGGGAGCCCAAGTCCTGCTGTGGGACTGAACCCACACCTTCTAGTCTTTGCTGTTCAAGATGACTAAATAGATGACAGAGGAAAACCTGGACCTGCTAGTACATTTTTTATTTCAATGCCATACACTATATGCTTTTTGTACTTTATTAAATTAAGAGGTAGAATATGCTTTTGCCCTCTGCCCAGTGTATGGGGCAATGCATAACTGCACTGCCCCCAGAGACCCTCTGTCCATATTCTCAAGGGGGAGAGAGGAAAAATAGATGCACAGTGTCTGCTTACCCTATCCACAACCGGAAGGCTCAAGTAGACACCACAGAAGAATAAAGGGGGAAGGGAACTTGCTCCCCAAATGGGCCCACAGGTCAGGCTATGAATGATCATTATTAATCTATTCCAGAAATGACTGAGCACAGTATTGTGGATATGGCATGTTATGGCTAGGAGTAAAATATTTAACAATATGAAACAAGTTCAGAGTAAAAACACATTCAAGATACCTTTGATGATAAATATATTGTGGTCACATAGTTGGAATAGTAATAATACTACCTACCACTTCCTCCATCTTTCATACCCACGCAGGGACCAATCACATGCTGACACTAAGGCTGTCATAGTAATGAATATTTATCGATACAGCTGTATACTTTCAGTATTATTCTTCCCCCATGTGCTTATTCCATTTATACATTAGGAGACATGCACTGTAATTAGTTTTATATTAGGCTCACAATGTCCAGTTCAGCATTTTCATGCAAACTATTATGACTTTTTTATATAATGCTTCACTCCCCTTTTTGATATGGAAGCCCTTTAAGTACATGCTGTCAATGACATTTCACTAAGAACAGAAGGAAACTGGAAACCACACAAATGCTATGAATAGCAACCAGTGGAAGAGATGGGTCATTTCAGAACTAGGTCAAATTGGATTCGTATATTACTTTATTTCGGTTCATATCTGACAAAGAAACACATGCACCCTTCAGTTCCTTACGTCCATTAGTCTGCCTCCCGCTGCTTTCTCTTCTTCTTTTTGGGGATGGGGAGAATATTTCTATGTTTATAGTACTTAAATAATTAGAGTTGTTTTCCCCATTTAATTGCTTCTTGGCCCTGGAAAAACTTAAATTACCACACCAGTGATAAATAAACAATTCTGTCTTCAATCAGATACTAGAAAAGGTTCTAAAAACAACAACAATTTCACCAAGTATTAGAGATACTAAGTAGTAACTTTTAAGTTTCATAAAATGTTATCAGTTCTAAAACCTGACTGCCTCATGGTTGTCACAAGAACAATGCAAAACTTAAGTGGTGAAAGAAGATTGTTCTTTACACAATATTGCTTGGAATTACAATAAACTGTTTTAATTTATTTGATGTCATGATGGTCTTTTCTAAAACTGAGGTCATTACAGGTCATTTTATGCAGTACAGAGAGGGTGACTTAGCTCTTCCTAGTGAAGTGCTATAGGGGAGTACAACAATACTTTTATCTGTCAGAAATAACACAGAAAATATTATTTTTATATGTAATTACACCCCCACCCCCCCAAGGGCTAGACTCACAAAATGACTTAGGAGCCTAACTGCCACTAGAGGTGTCTAAATTCAAGAAACATGGCCACTGGGATTCACAAGGCCCCTGCTCAGCTGCCTCCAAGCCCTGTAGGCATTTAAACAAGCTGAGCACCTAATTTTTTGCAGTAAAAGTTCCCTAGGTGCCTATGTTTCTGCATGTGCACTGCAGCCCCATGCCAGTTATATAGGGAGCCTAGGTGGCAAACTCTGGCTTGGAAAATTCCAATGATTTTTCTAGGCACCTAAAAGTAGGCATTTTGATGCTCAAGGTATGTCTACACTGCAATAAAAGACCCACATCACAGCCCCAGCTGGCCCAAGTTAGCTGGCTGTGGCTTATGGGGCTCAGGTTGGAGGGCTTTAAAACTGCAGTGTAGACATTTGGGCTCAGATGAAGACCAGGCTTTAAGAGCCCGCAAGGAGGGAAGGTCTCAGCTCCTGGGCTCCAGCCAGAGCCTGAACATCTACAATGCAATTTTATAGCCCCACAGCCTGAGCCCCACAAGCCCACATCAGCTGACCCGGGTTTTTATCGCAGTGTAGTCGTACCCTCAATGTCAACACGCCTACGTTTTTTTATGAATCTAGCCCAGTGGTGGGCAGCCTGCGGCCCGCAGGATAAATGCGGCCCATCAGGGTAATCTGATTGTGGGTCGTGAGACATTTTGCTGACATTGGCCGTCTGCAAGCATGGCCCTCCGCAGCTCCCAGTGGCCGCGGTTCGCTGTTCCTGACCAGTGGGAGCTGTGGGAAGCAGCAGGCCACAGGGATGTGCCAGCCGCCACTTCCTTCAGCTCCCATTGGCCGGGAATGGCAAACCATGGCCACTGGGAGCTGTGGGGGGCCGTGCCTGTGGATGGTCAACGTCAGCAAAATGTCTCGCAGCCCACAATCAGATTACCCTGATGAGCCACATGCGGCCTGCGGGCCGCAGGTTGCCGACCACTGATCTAGCCCCAAGAAGCAAAGATCAACAGTTATTATAAGATCACTTTAGAACAAGATTCTGAAATTCTTACTCCCATTGGTCCTAATCTTACTCCCAATTTAGTAAATGAAAGTTTTTTCATTTAACATTAATGGAACAGCATTGTCTCCATTCAACAGTACTTATTCAAATAACTTACTACTCGTTGTGAGGTACAGGCTGCAGAATCTAGCCCCCTCACTGATGTCTCATTTTGTGTTGCCATTTGGTACTATTATTACTAAAGCACCTTTTTCGTGTACTTACGCCATAATGCCTGAGAAGTGAAACATTTCAGCTGTTATATATGACAAGTAACTGTAGAGGAAGACAAAAAGTGGCTCAATCACTCGGATTTTATGGGTGAAACGGGTTGTAAATGCTGCCACAAATCCCAAAAAGATTCCAATCAACACTCCACCAATCCCAACTACAACGAATTTAGCAATTCCAGCAAATACATCAATGGTCTCAATTGTGTGCATCTGGCAGAAAGTCTTGAACAAATTGTACAGGACCTACGGAGAAAAGAAAGCACATTACTTTTCAAAAGCCTTCCCATTTCCTCTCAGTGGCACTGTAGTCCTGCATTCTAATGGAAGACTTTGTATTTTTGTCTTTACCTTGAATTCACTTTAAAAATATGCTACTTATATACTTATAATATATATTTATATATTATTTTTATCCATAGATCTCAAAGTACTTTACAAAGAGGTGTAAATATCAAAATTCCTGTTTTGCAGATTAATTTTGCAGACACTGAGGTACAGAAAGGCCATCTGACTCGATCAAAGTCACTCAGCAGGTCAGTGGCCACACCAAGAGTAAAACCAAGTTCTCCAGATTGATGGAAATTCCTGTGTCCCATCTATGCTGCCAATCATTTTCAGATTTCCTAATTTCACATGTTCCCTGCCTGAGGCAATATTTTCCAGACTCACATTTTCGCGGGGACAAAAAAAAAAAAGAACGATTTGTTTGATCACCAGTCAAATCAAGTAATTTCATTAGACATTTGAGGCTGTGGGACAACAGGTCTGAAAACAACATATCTGCTCAGACGAACTGTGACAGATGCAAACCCTAAATGGCCACAATGCCGCTCCTGCCAACTTCTGTTTAGAACAATATGGAATGTGATCACCTGGGTTATATTTTGAATACAATCAACTGATTAGAGTTGTGCAAAATCATGACCAGAAGCCATAAGTAGGCCCAGTGCCAAGATACTGGGCCTTCTAACAGTCATTCAGATATCTTTAAACTCTCACGGGCTCGAAAGCGGAACTGAATTGATTATAAACTCCCATTGACCGCAGGTATTCTGACTCTGAAACATTTCTGGATAAAAATAGAAGCCCAAACAATGTCTAAAAACGACCAACAAGAGACCTCAAAGGAGCTGCAAGGTGAAGTTGTTAGCATGGTTGGTTCATCTGCTGAATGAGGTCTGTTGGCCTCATTCGGTAGGTCCATAAATTGTGTCCTCTATATCTGACCCCTACAGGCTCAAAACCTCTGTGATAAATGATTCTCTTTAGCAGCAGGTAGGCAAACATGAAGACTGTATCAAAGATCTGCAGTCTGGTTACAGCACCACCACTGCAGTGTATGCACAGAATGGTGGGTGGAAGTCAGTGTCATTTTGATCATGGCACATGTATTTCAGGCCTCAGAAACAGTGGGCTTTTTGGCAAAGTGTGCTCATTTGTGTTTAGGTTAGATGCTGAAGAGTGATTGTTTTCAATAAAAACAATTACACAATGAGAAGGCTCCATATAAACACGGAGAACAGCCATTCCCCAAATATTCATGCAAACAGAAATGTCTTTGCATGAATGATTGTTAAGAGTAAATAAAGACAGGCATAGACATGTCTGAACCAAACAGCCATTTGGAATTGGAATTAATATTTGCCTGCGCTGTTTTTGCAGTACTGTGTTTGGCCAAGCCTAATAACATCATAGGCATGGATAGAGAGCCTCAGCTATAAACTAAGAAGAAAAGTCAGGCTTTAAGAAAAGCTTTAAAGACAGGATGTGAGTCAGTGGCTTGGAAGGACATAACATCAGGTAGATTGGGAAGCGTAAGTGATCCAACTATGGAGGATCATGGGAAGGGAAAGAAAAATGGCCAATACTGAAGGATCAGATAGAGTGGATGGGGGAGATGAGGTCAGTGACCTAGACTGGAGAAAATCCTTTCAAAGTTTAAAAATCGGGAAGACAACTCTTTGTTGAATTAGGAGATGAATAGGTTTCAGAGTAGCAGCCGTGTTAGTCTGTATCCGCAAAAAGAAATGGAGGACTTGTGGCACCTTAGAGACTAACAAATTTATTTGAGCATAAGCTTTTGTGAGCTACAGCTCACTTCATGGGATGCATGCATGAGATGATTAAGAAGCCAGTAATGGAGAAAAGAGAGAGAGATGGTTCCAATTCATGGAGCTGTCTGGTCCTTGTGACATGTGGAAAACTGGAGTTACATTGATCATAAAACAGGACATTACAGGAATGATAACAGGAGATTATTTATGCATGGGTAAGGATTTCAGGAAAGATAAGGACAGGTAAGAATAAATGCCAGTAATATTTGAAATACAGTGACAGCGGATTTACACATGGGGAAGTGGATGGCTCAGGGAAAGGGTAATGGACTCTGCAGACTTTCATCTCTAGGTCAACACAAGAAATTCAGCTCAGCTGGTTAATCATTAGACATCTGATAGCTACTTGGTGTCCTATAGGAAATAATTTGGTGATCTCAGTGCAGCTCTAACTGGGCAGGCGCCCAAATCAAATTAGCACTAATTGGAAACTGTGCTTGTAGTCTCCATGTGATTTGCACTCTTTCTGGGTGTATCCATGAAAATTCATACTGAGCACCTCTTCTCTCCTCCCCTCCCACACAGACATTTCTGCATCAGGGGAAAACCTCTGAATTTTTATTAAAAATTCAATGATAAATACCTAAAAACTTCATACATTAAAATCTATGAAAAATTTATATGCCTCCATTAAATATTAACATGTAGGTCTAGTGTAAAGAACGAATTTGATAAACTGGCTTTGGCTCTCGGTAGATAATGGCAACTAGATAGAAAGACATATGGCATGATGGTGCCATGTGGTCAAGTAGCAGCAACAGTAATTGTTTATATAGTAACTTACCACAGTTACGGCATCATTCAACAGAGACTCTCCAAACACTAGGATGTAAAGCTGTTCATTGACATGAATATTTTCAAAAACAGCCAGCACTGCCACAGGATCCACAGCTGAAATTAAGCTTCCAAAGAGCAGACTCTGCAGCAAAGTGATATCAGTCAAGCCAAATATTTCAATCTGGCAAATTCCAAAGAGGGAAAGCCCAATGCCAATAGAATTCCAGAGTGTTCCCACTACTGCATACCAGAATATAGTACCAAAGTTCTCAAAGAAAAGGCGAGTTGGCATGAAATATCCGGCATCGAGTACAATCGGTGGAAGGAGATACAAGAAAAAAATATCACTCTTTATTGCAGGTGGGGACTTTTCCTTGGCTCCAAAAATAATTCCACCCAGCAGTAATCCAACCAGAATAAGGAGGCAGCTCTCAGGCACGACCGAGGGCAACTTGTGATAGAGATGAAAGCCTTCAAGGGGAGTTCAAAACACAAGAAAGTAAAATAGTTACTTCTCCAGAATCTACGAGCATATCATGTTATTTTCTTCTTTATACTAAAGAAATAATAATCACATGATAACTTTATTTTCACTTCAAAGAAATGTTCAGGGAAGCAGAAAACAAACACACATAATCTTGTTGTGCAGCAAGAGGTGGAGATAGAATACTGGCCCTGTTCGGCAGATATGTAGATTTGATAGCCATCTCCCAACCCACCCATTCACCAGGCAAATCCAGACCATGCAGTAAATACACATGTAAATGAGCAGAAAGAGATCTGACTTGACATTTGTGCATAAGTTTACCAGTTGTGGTAACTGTGCACTCTAATTAGTCAAGAAGCCACTTAACATTTTGCATTCGCAATTCTTAAAATCTGGGCCTTAGTGCCTCATTATTTCACAATTCTATTGAATGCCCAGTGTGCTGTCTGCTGTACAAATACATAGAAAAATTCTTGGAAGAGACTTTCAGTGGTGACATAAAGGTTTCATAACCTATAGGCCCGGGCCAGATTAAGGCAGGGGCTTTAGGGGCTGCAGACCAGGGCCCCAACTCAAGTGGGCCCTGCAAAAATAAATCACAGGCAGTGATCTCCAGGCCGCTAAAAGGGGCTGTCAGGCAGGCTGTCTGCATGCCGCGGCCCCACACCACTCCTGGAAGTGGCTGGCTGCTGGCATATCTCTGCGGCCCCTGGCAGTGGGGAGACGGCTCCGCAGCTGAGCTGTGGGGACAGTACTTGTGGGCGCAGGCAGTGCACAGCGACCCCCTGCCCCCCTCCCCACAGGGGCTGCAGAGACGTGCCAGCAGCCAGCCGCTTTCGGGAGTGGTGTGGGGCTATGGCAGGCAGGCAGGCAGCCTGAGCCCTGCTGCGCCACCAGCCGCCGTTCAGGAGCTACCTGTGGTAAGCGCCTCCCCACTGGAGCCTGCACCATGCATCCCATCCTGCACCCCAACCCCTTGCCCCAGGTCAGAATCCCCTCCTGCACCCAAACTCCCTCCCAGACCCCGCACCCCATCCTGCACCCCAATCCCCTGCCCCAGCCCCCTCCTGCACCAAACTTCCTCCCAGGAAAAAGACTTGTATACAGGGACACCACAAAATCTAACAGTCCCGGGCCCACAGGAGAGTTAATCCGGCCCTGTCTGAGGCATCCAGACAGTTCAGTTTTGCTTTTAGGATTTGACATGAATGTACCTCCTACACACCAAGGATACATTTCAGGTTCGGCAGATGCCAGTCTTTTCCATACCACCCTTAGCTATATTTAATGCCTGTAATTATTTATGAATGGAAAATAGGGCTTGTTGAAAATCAAGAGCAAACAAGCCCACCCATAAGGTCTACAATTCTTGGCTAACTGGAAAGCATTGTAATGGTTTTAAATTGGTTTTGCCATTCATAAATATAGTAAACTTTGAATGTGGTAGTAAACATCATCTGACTCCCCACACTTAGAACATATGGTAATATAAACCGATTTAGGTCCCAACTGAAACCCACTGAAGTCAATGGCAGGGCTCCTATTCTCTTCAATGGGCTCTAGATCAGGGTTTAATGAGCCTCTGACACCTCATGTTACATTTTGTGAATTCATTCCATAGACGCCGACTTCCTCAGTTCCCAGGGGGGTGCTCAACCCCTACTGTGCCCCAGGCCCTGCCCCCACTCCACCTCTCCCACCAAGTCCCCACCCCCACCCTGCCTCTTCCCACCCCTACTCCACCCCAGGCCCCACACCCACTCCACCCCTTCCTCCAAACCTCCATTCCCGCCCTGCCTCTTCCTGCCCCCGCTCTGCCCCAGCCCCACTTCTTCCTGCCCCCGCTCCTCCCCCTCTCCCCAGTGCCTCCTGCACCCCGCTGAACAGCTGATCGCAGCAGGTGGGAGGTGCTGGGGGAGGGGGAGGAGCTGATCCATGGGGCTGCTGGTGGGTGCTGAGAACCCACTATTTTTTTTCTATGGATGCTCCAGCCCCAGAGCACCCACGGAGTCAGTGCTTATGACTCGTATTTAGAAAATAGGTTTTTTTCCCCCTTGCAAGTGTGTTTCTTCTGTTTCATTTTTCCTCCAAAATATCAAGAATGTCAAGTCTGATCAGACTTGGCTTCGCTGAAGGATCTGTTGGGAACTCTTTAGTAGCCCCTCTCATTTTTAATGCAAGAGATGGAGAAGTTGAACCTTTAACAAATACAACCAGAAAGTGTTCTTCAGTCCCTGAAGTTTAATGGCTGTTAACATACACACCATTTTTTAAACAGCCTGACTCTCAATCCCTTCCCGTCTCAGCGCTATCTACACACACAAATTGTACCAATTTCACTATATTAGTATAGTTAAACCAGTACAATCCCCCTACTGTGGGTATAGTTACACTGGGATAAAGGGCCCTATATTTCTATAGCTATTCCCATACAGGAAGGGGAATAAGCTAAACCAGTATAAGGTCTTGTCTAAACTTGTCTAACGACTTCAGTGAAGACGCTACCTATGCTAACAGGGTGGGTTCTCCCATCAGCATAGGGAATCCACCTCCCCAAGAGGTGGCAGCTAGGTCAACAGGAGAATTCTCCCATCAACCTAGCACTGTCTACACCACATGTTAGGTTGGTTTAACTGCATCACTCGGGGTATGGAATTTTCATACCCCTGAGCAACACAGTTATACCGACCTAATTTCCTAGTGTACACCAGGCCTTAGATGCCTTTATAGAGACATAACTGCATCTCTACTCCAGATGGTACTGATTTAACTATTTCAGTAAAACTCACACCCACAAACAATATAGTTAATTTGATACAAAACCTTTGTGCACACCAGGCATCAGTTGCCCAGCTTTTGATCTTATAACACCATATTTCACTAGTTTTCTGCTCACCATAGAGTCTTCTAGGGTAGACAAAGGGCATGGGTTGATGAACAGCGAGTGTGTGGCAAGATGGGGTGTAAATCTAAGTCATGCTAGCATGCTACAAACTACCCGTCTGTGTGGATCTTGGTACCGTGCACTAAAAGTTCCCTAGTGCGCTCTGATCTACTCCCATTTCAAACAATATTAACTGTGCGTCTAGACAAGCCCCATGTCTGAATTTCTTGTGTAAAAAGCAAACAGAAAAAAACTGCAAACAAAAACCTTTCAGGCCTTTTTTATTATACACCATAAAGATATTTTTAAACTAAAAGGGCACAAGCATAGTTATTTTTTCTATTACAGGGCGCCGATATAGCAAGTTTGCCCTCCAAAATATATCTAGCGCACGTAAATTCAGATTTTTTTTTTTTATTTCAAGAATAAGAATCTGAGTGAATGTGGAAGAGCTGCCAAACTCACTCAGTACCACCTGCACTAGGACACCTCCAGTTTGCTGCCTGGTCACCACCGGTAAGGGCTTTAAGGGACATGAGAACGAGCCATTGGGGACCGTAGGTGGTGTTTTGCACCTTCCAATCAGTTCCATGTTGAATTGTCATGCTTCGCACTGGTTTCTGCCATGATAGAAGACCAAACTTTCCAATAAAGAGAGTGAAATCCCACCGGACCCCTGGAGTCAAGTTTCACAGGTTTCTGGGGCTTGCTCCTCCCAGAAGGATTCCAATTTTTCCTGCTAGTTATAGCCCTGCGTGCTTGTTGTGGTCAACTGAATCAAAATTTTTCTTTCTGACACCTGGATTCTGCACAGGTAATATAAAACCATAACTATGCCTTTTATTGCATCAGGGTGGAGAGCTGGCAACTCCTAGCTTTCATGAATTACCTTTTATTGTGCATCTGTATTTTCACAGGATGGCACGGTAAGTGGAACTATATAGTATGGGTATGCAAAGACATTGGGCAAGGTTTACTGAAACTAGCAGAAGACAATGGAAACTGCACCTCAGTATGTCAGCTCTGAAAAGAAAGACTTTAATTAATGAAAATTCCAAGTCGTAGTCATACTGCTATTACTGCCACTTAAAATATTGAAAGCTGGTTATATGAGATTTGGGGTAACATTTACAAAAGTGCCCACGTGATTTAGGAGCCTAAAGGCCATTTCCAAAAGTGATAGGCTAGATCCAAAAAGGGACTGAGGTGCCTAACTGCCACTTCAGATGCCCAAGTACAAAATTTAGATCTTCAAAACCCCTGCTCAGCTACTTAGCCTTGGAGGTGCCTGAATTTCTGCTGGTGCAAATGTGCAAAGCCACCCAAGTCCTGACACTGCAAATCTGCTCAGCAGCTTAATTCTGGCAGATTCTCAAACTAAGCATTCCCCTGTCTATCCTGCCAGGGGGGTCCAATCTGGTAGGCATTCTCAGAGCACACCTACACCACACAAAAGACATCCAGAAGGAGGCTCTATTAGTGGTTAGAACACTCAAGCAGGATGTGGGAGTTCAAATCCCCCCCTGTCTAATTTGAAGCAGAGGTCTGAAGCCAGATCTCCCCCAGAAATGCCTTAATCACTGGCCTATAGAGCTATTTGGGATGGTACTCTATCAATTTCTCCTCCAGAAGCTGTTTCACTGGGTATAAATAATTAAGTATCCTTTGGGCCAGAGAGAGTAAGAATGACTGCATAGGCCCACTTTGTATAAAATATTTAAATATTCATTGGAGCAGGGACCTGGAACCTGCTCTCCCAGGTGAGCGCACTGACCACTAGGCTACAGAGTCATTCTCACACTTTCTCTGGCCCCCTTTTGGAAATTTTACCCCCTAGGCCAAACCCCATAGTTATTATTAATACAAAGTAAAGCTGGTGGGACATGAAAAAGCTAATTTCAGAAAAAACTGAAACATTAAAGTTGTTTTCATTGCCAAGAGTTCAAAGTGTACCCATTTTTTCTGTTTTGTTTTGGTTTTTTTTAATTTGTCATGAATTTTCTTCTGGAATTTTTCAAAATGCTTATCAGAAAAAGTATCAAATGCCTTATTGAAATAGACTCTCTAAAATTAAAACTTTTGAAAATCATTTCAATAACTTTTTTTATTTTAAAAAATCTGATTTTTTTAAATGCATGGAATTGCTCATAAAAACAAACATTTTGGTAACGTAAATAGTTTAAAAATCATTTTGAAAAAAGCCATTGTTTTCATTCTGTGTTGAAACAAAACAAAACCTTTTGTGAAACTGCATTGTGTCAAAATGCCCATTTTTCACTCAGAAAGCTCAGGTTTTAGATTCTGGGTTCTCTTACTCTCTCTGATTTGCAGTAACCACAAGCCACCCCCACCCTTTGAAACCTTCCAGATGAAAACACTGATGAGATCGACAAGTTCTCTGCGTAACATTTTGGCTTCAACAAAACTGCATATTTTGACAACACTACATTAAGTCAAAAATATTCTGACCAGCTCTAGTAATAACACCACATTTAAATATACTTGGCCTTCAGGTTCATGAAGTTCTGTTCATGTGCAATGAGAGGTTATAAAATCTGGTCATATCCTATGAGCTTGAGTAACTTTTGAAAGGGTCTTACTGTTTAGTGCATTTTTTAATAAAGCAATGTTCTGTATTACTGATAAAGCTTTCGATTATTGTATCTGAAAGAGTTTTTAAAATCTAATTTACTTCTCATAGTTTATGCTGTTTGTTTACTTTTTGCATTGCATTCATCTTAGAAAATAAAATTAGACTAGTCTTTTTCACCTTCTGGACTCTTAAGCATTAGCAAAGTACTGCAATATTTGGATCGCAAACAGTCTACCAGAATATTTATGTTTTTAAATGACATAATTGGAATTATAAAAATAATCACCAAAATATTTCCATTGGTCTTAGCTTCTGCAAGGCTTTTTATTACAAAACCTAAATTTTGGCCTAAATCAACTTTACAGTACTCTTTTAAATGAGGAGAGATAGATACAAAATGAATGGCATGTGTTTATATCAGGTGATTAGTTGTAATACATTGGTGCTCTATATATCAAAATTAAATATATAGGCCCTGAACCTGCAAACCTTTATGTACATGCTTGAGGTTAACCATATAAGTAGTCCCATTGGAAGGGTGTAAATTGTAGTAGCTCTGTTGAAGTCAAGGAGACTATTCTTAAAGTTAAGCACATGCCTTAAGAGTGTTTGCAGGAGCAGAGCTATATGGCTACTAAGCACAATGTGGCTCTGTATATCTAGATTTCACAAGTAGAAGACTAAAGTTTGACAAGTAAATGATAGCTAATTTGGCTCAATAAGTAGTTATCCACATGAATGTATTCATAGTTTTCAGTGAAATGTGTGATACAAAAAAAGGCATTTGAAGTCAAACAAACATGGTAATGTTATGTTTTCCCATTTATTCCTCAAAGGAGGTTCTTCGAAGCTAAGATTCTCAAGGACTGCTTAGAAAGAGACCTAGTTAAAAGAATGTCATCATTTATACATGGTCTTACTGATTTTTACACAGTTCCTAAAATCCTTTGTTTTCCAGATCACTCTGTTACTTGTTTAAATTCATATTTTATTGTAACAAGAAATAAAACAGTTAATTTAAAAACAAAAATATATTTCCCGAATAAACAGAAGACAACACCGTGAAACTATGCAATACAAACTTTTCCCACATCAGAGAATGAATGACCTTTCTAACCACTCAGTGCTCCTCATCTTTCAGAGACTATTCCCTGGACACAGCTGAGTGGTAAAAAAAAAAATTCTAAGGGGAGGCTTAATCCACACTGATTAACATTTTTGTGTGCTTTCCATCAGTCCCTTGCCATCGATTTTCTTTCGCTGAAATTCTTTATTAAAGATAAATTATATAATTGCCTACCATTACCTAGTGTAATATTTTGTGGAAAGGAATACAGTGTTCATAGACTTCTTGTAAATATGTATCTAGAGACTCTAGGGAATGTGTTTCATGTATACACAGAAGGATGAATGAAACTATTCGTTTTTTTAGTGCTACATTTTTAATATTTTGCAACCAAATGTTTTAAGCTTTACGTTTTGTTGAGCCCTATTATGAGGGACATTTTCTAAGGGTAGTTTAATCTAATGTTCTCCTTCATACTGGTTCTCTCGAAGAAGCAAAAAAACGGTCAGCCAAATCATGCCAAAGGCTTCAAATTACATCACTAAGCAATAGAAGAAAATCTAATGGTCACTTGTCAGTAACTCTAAAAGTCAGCTACCACTCTGTACCTGACCTATCAGTCCTCATTTTCAAAGGAAATCTTCACAACATCTTCAAAAGACTAGCCTGGGAGCTTAATTCATAACTTTGCGAGACACTACAAATCAAGGACTGAACAGAGATGCTGGATTTACAGTTAATTGCAACAATGTATAACTCACTAACAACCCCCCACAAGCTGCCTTCCCTGTCTCTTTTCCATTCTCCCCATGAAGGGGTGTAAAAGGGACACTTCACTTGGAAAAGTTCCTTAAATATGCTAAACAATCTGTTGTTTCACCTTGTATTTACCTGTGACACTGAGCCCTTTCCCAGACCCGAAGAAGAGCTACAAAACTTGTCTCTTTCACCAATAGAAGCTGGTTCAATAAAATGTATTATCTCATCCACCTTATCTTTCATCTGAGCAGTTTTCACTGAACTTGTCACACTGAAAGGTAATTCACAGTGACTTGCATTTGTTTTAGTAAATCAGTGTTGTTCACTGTTCCTCTTAAAAAACCAGCAGGGTCAAAGTGAAAGCCACGGTTAAGTTAAAATCTAGACTCTAGGTGGGTGTTTGCCAAATGAACAATCAGGGAATGCATATATAAATGAAGCCATATCGTGGGGACTTTCTCTGCTTTTCAGGGGTTTCTGAACAGTACTGGGACTCTGAGTGAGCAGTAGCCTTATGTGTTTGCATTCTCACTAGCCCTCAGCGTATAAACAGACAGGGAGAGCCACATTATCTACCCATATATTTGCCTGTTTTTAACAGCGAAATAGACAGGCAAAGCGTGCATTGCAAGGCTCGCCCTTTGCCACACTGGTAAAGCTTCCTGCAGGCAGCTTTCCCCCGCCGGTGAAGTGCACTGGGCACTGCCCCCACCCGCCCGCCGACCGGGCTCCCACCCAAGCTCCCTTTGGCTCACACAGGACTCGGGGCAGTCGCCCAGCCTCAGCCTCCCCATCGGTGCCAGCCCCAAGGCTCGCGGGCCGGGCCGGGGTCACTCACCGATCTTGGCCAGGGAAGCCAGCAGGATCCAGAGGGTGATCTCGAAGGGGATCTGCACGTGCGGATAGTCCAGGGTGAAGATGTGGACCCGGGTCTCCTCGAAGGGGGTCCCGCTCGGCGGCTGCGGAGTCCCTGAGCTGCCGGGGTCGGGGCTGGCGATGCCCATCGCCGCTTCGGAGACGGCAGAGACCGCGGCGGGCTCCAGGAGCCAGGCGAGGAGGAGGACCAGGGGCCCGGCAGGGAGCCGGGGGCAGCGGCAGCCCATGGGGGCGGCTGGTCAGGGTCCCGCCCTGCCACTCAGAGCATGAGCCCCCCTCTGCCGGGCCGGGCACCCGCGGCCGCTGCTGCCTCGCTCCCCGGGCTCTGGAGGAGCCGGCTGGATGCGCCCCGCCCCGGGGCGACGCAGAGGCGCCCGCTCCCTCTGCCCCCTTGCTGCTCGCCCCGCGCAACGCCCCTGCTCGCCCCTTCCTGCCCCGGCCGCCTGCTTCTGCCCGAGGGCCAGCCCTGCGCTCGCCCCGGCAACGCCCCTCGGCGGCCGCCCCGGGCACCGGGGCGCTGGCTGCCACCGCGCACCTGCCGCCGGCTCCCAGGGGCCAGCCCGCTCCCGGCGCGGCAGCGAGCGAGGTGCGGCTGGGCCCAGGAAATAGTCAGCCCCGGCTCTCCGGATCTGGCTGGGCAGGAAGGACCCCGCCCAAAAGCTGGGGTTGGGGACAAGTGGGGAAAGGGGGAGCCGCTAGGCAGCCCGATCTGTGCGCGCCGCATGGCAGAGCCCCACCCCGGCCGCTGCAGTTACGGCAGCCTTCTGCCACCTGCCCCAGGATCCTGCCACTGATTCCTCCTCCTGGGACCACCTCACCTGCACTCTGCCCACTAGGCCTCCTCCCACTTCTCCCAGCGCTCCCAGCTTCTCCCAACCCTCCCTCATCTGCCAGTGCTGACTCTGAGAAATCAACCAGCCAGGGAAATGTGGAACTCCCCCACCCGCACCCCAATATCTATAAATACACTGACCCAAGGCCGGGGACAGAAGGTACTCAGTTATGCCCCTCCACCCTTGGTGATGTCTCCTGGCCCCCCATAATGCTTGAAAGGAGAGATTTCTAGCCTCCTAGCAGAACACCTGCCATTTGATCCTAGCCCCGGAAGGTCCCAGGCTAACAGATCTTAAGACAGTGATATGCATGCCTTATCTGTGAAAAACAAGCTACCCGCGGCTATTTTAGAGGTTTGCCTATGTCTGAGTCCCCTATAGCCTGGCTCCTGGTAACTGGGCCTGATGCTGCAGACATGTATGCATGTGCTGAACTGTAACATAACTTTAACTACTCCTGTGCTTAAAGTAAAGCACATACATATGCGTTTGCAGGGTGGGGACCTAAGACATTGAGCTTTACAGGTGGTTAGCTACAAAAGCAGTCCCAATGTATTCTTGTAACTCACTACAATATATTTAAATAGATTTTAAAATGTGAATCGGTTATACAGAGCACATGACAGGGAAATCTGGTCCTCACTGAAGGCCATTAACTTCAAAGATATTTGCCATTGACTTCAAAGTGGCCAGGATTTACCCCAATATTATGGAATACATTTTTTACTGAGACTTATTGGGATAATCAGCATAACTTTCTCCTGGCTTCCCCACTAATGAGTAATGCAGTATTCCAAAACTCAGACCAATAGAAACTTCACCGGGCATTCTCTTGCTCTTAATAGCAGTTCAATGCAAATACTAACAAAGACAGCAGTAACAGTTCTTTTCTTCCAACAGTGATGGGGAAAATTACTTTTGCCGTGTTTAAATACTTTGTTTTTTATAGGATCTGGGGGAGATGGAGTGAAGCCATAATGAGGCAACTGGCACTGTGGATATGGGGAAAGCAGTTTATGTGATATATCTTGACTTTAGCAAAGCTTTTGATATGGTCTCCCACAGTATTCTTGCCAGCAAGTTTAAAAAGTATGGATTGGATGAATGGACTATAAGGTGGATAGAAAGCTGGCTAGATTGTCGGGCTCAACGGGTAGTGATCGATGGCTCCATGTCTAGTTGGCAGCGGGTATCAAGCAGAGTGCCCCAGGGGTCAGTCCTGGGGCTGGTTTTGTTCAACATCTTCATTAGTGATCTGGATGATGGGATTAATTGCACCCTCAGCAAGTTCGCATATGACACTAAGGTGTAGGGAGAGGTAGATATGCTGGAGGGTAGGGATAGGGTCCAGAGTGACCTAGACAAATTGGAGGATTGGGCCAAAAGAAATCTGATGAGGTTCAGCAAGGAATAGTGCAGAGTCCTGCACTTAGGACAGAAGCATCCCATGCACCAATATAGGCTGGGGACCAACTGGCTAAGCGGCAGTTCTTCAGAAAAGGACCTAGGGATTACAGTGGATGAGAAGCTGGATATGAGTCAGCAGCGTGCCCTTGTTGCCAAGAAGGCCAACAGCATATTGGGCTGTATTAGTAGGAGCATTGTCAGCAGATCGAGGGAAGTGATTATTCTCCTCTAGTCAGCACTGGTGAGGCCACACCTGCAGTACTGCATCCAGTTTTGGTCCCCCCACTACAGAAGGGATGTGGACAAATTGGAGAGAGGCCAGCAAAGGGCAACAAAAATTATTAGGAGGCTGGGGCACATGACTTACGAGGAAAGGCTGAGAGAACTGGGGTTATTTAGTCTACAGAAGAGAAGAGTGACTACCTGAAGGGGGGTTCCAAAGAGGATGGAGCTTGGCTGCTCTCAGTGGTGGCAGATGATAGAGCAAGGAGCTATGGTCTTAAGTTACAGTGCAGGAGGTCGAGGTTGGATATTAGGAAACACTATTTCACTAGGAGAGTGGTGAAGCACTGGAATGGGTTATCTTGGGAGGTGGTGGAATTTCCATCCTTAGAGGTTTTTAAGGCCCAGCTCTGAGCAGGGGATTGGACTAGATAACCTCCTGAGGTCTCTTCCAACTCTAATATTCTTTTAATAAAAAGCAGAATTGAATCCTTGCAGCTTTCGTTGATTTCAACATCTTTCAAAGTTTGGCCATTGTACTTAAGTTTCTAATAGATTTAAGAGCATATCACTAGGTACCCAAATTTGAATTTTTTGGCCATGATGTATCAAAACCAAGGTTTTTTAGAAGAAAGCTATGTATCATCTAGAAAATCAAACAGAAGGAAAAAATAGGTCTGAATTTTTAGCCAGTCTACAAATGTTCCAACTATTGGGTTGGGTTTGGTAACCTTCTGCAATGTTGCTTTTGATTCTTGTATTAAGTTCCCTGAATTAAGAGAGGGACTGCTGAGTACTGTTCATACTAAGGAACTCTCCGTGGACGGAGACACAGATACAGAAAGAAAAGATTGTGCAATGCCAGTAAATTACCTCTATCCATTGGCCATTTGTAGGAAGAAAGGGCAGCCTACAAATGAAGCTTGCTACACCCAAGCGACATTACCAGGCCAGATGGATCTATGTTTCTGTGGCTTCAGGACATTACACCAGTTGGAGCAGTATTTTAACAAACTTCCCTGAAAAAGCTGTAGTAAGGAGATGGCGTCCACCCCTACCTATCAATGGTAACCCTATTCACATAGCATCAGGGGGGGGGGGGGGGGTTCAATCTTTATTGTATCCTCAGCACACTCCTGTGTGGTAGTACAGTACTATCATTCCCCAATGGGGAAGTGAGGCACAGAAAACCTAAATGACTTTCCCAAGGTCACGTGGCAAAGTAGAGTCTGGGACCCTCCAATTCTGAGTACCACACTAGCACCCAAAGCACTGGACCATTCTTTCTCTTAGATACAAGTAGAGCTGGCTAAAAGAAATGGCCACATTTGCGTGTGACCTATTTTGTTGACATTTTCTTTTCTTCAAAGTTTTGAAAAATATCAGCCGCCTGTTGGTGTGCCAGAGTACAGAGAAGAAAATACGGAGAGGAACGTACGAATGCCTACAAGTGTGTACTACTGGACTAGCTACCTGAGTGTCGTAGAACTCTCTCTATAAAAAGATGATCTTGTGAGTTAAACTATTTCTCAGAACTATTAGGACCCAAAGGTCCCATACTGAGTTAATGTAAATATAACTGAGGAGCAGATAAGAATGGAAATTGGTATAAAGGAGAGAGGAAGACAGTGCATGGAGCGGGAGGTGTTGTCATAAGTCCTGGGACCAGTGATTTACCTGGCTGATAAGAGGGGAAGTGATAAAGAAACATATTGCTACAAGCCAAAGGTGAGAAAAAGGGAAAGGCACTGAAATTGGAGCTGGCGACAAGGGAATTAATGGAAATGGCTATGTTTACGTTTATTGTTGCATTGAAATCTCTATATAAATATTTCCTGCATTTGTTTTTTAGGAACAGCAATTGCATGTTTTGTGTAATAATGGTGGCATTTAGATAATCCCAGTTAGGCTTTGATGCTCACAGTTTACTGAGATAAATGGGATGGTGCTTTCTCTCTTCCTACAGCCTCTGAACATTAGAGACTTGCTCTGTTGTAATTACCTATCATTCTGGTCGTCCATGTTGCCTCCAGTTCTGTGACTGGATTTGTGTGGGTGGAACTCTGCACCCTTCCAGAGCCCCCTGAGGTCTATGGGGTTCCGGACATAAGGGTCCTTGTGTCCACACGTAAAAGCACGTGTAACCGTGCACAAGCACTGCATTCGTATTTGCTTTTAGAGCAAGGCTGACCGCTATGGTATCTTGCCTTGGGTCACTGCACCATTGCCGTGCTACTGCAAATGGCCCTTCCAGCACAGTGCCACAGTACTCCTGCACACGCTCCTTTGGCCATGCCGTGCAATACCTCCTGTGTTTCTGATTATTTTCATGCTTCGAGTAGCTGTCATTTTATACATAAAAATTGTCTGTTTTATAAGGTACAATACAGAAATCTTCAGGCTTTCCTTGTTTAAAAAAATGCAATACTAAATGGCATTTAATTTTACAAAATATGTAGTCATTCCTACATTTCAGTTTAAAAAAAAAACAAATATTGATTGCTACCTCAGTTATAGAGAATTGTGCAGGATACCCACAATGCATTGATATTGCAGTGGTGAATATGAGGGAGTGCTGGTTCTGGGCATGATTAATAGGTTTGCACTGGCCACGATGGTTAATGCAAAGATTCTGAACAAGTTACGATAGTTCAGTCATACCTTTGCAACAATACATTTCTTTAGTATAGATAGAGGTTTTGATTTAAAAGGGTGGATTATTATCATGCTGACTTTATCTTTACAATGGAAAAAGATATTCACTTGTTAACATTGTGCTCACTCTTTTTCCACAGTGGAAAAAGATAAACATTTAAAAAGAGAGAATCCTCACAATATTGTAGAATTCAGTCATATTTTCAGAGAGACCCT